CCAACAGCACTCTCCCCACCTGTGATTCCAAGATACCAATATTCAGATAGTCATTGTGGCTAGTAGCCATGGGGAGGGGGTTGGACTGGAGAAGGGGTGTGGGGTGGCATTTGACCCCTGGATGCCAATGGTGAATGCAGTCCTCTGACCAAAGAAGATTAGCCACCCCTAGGCTGTTTCTCCACTTACAATCAACCTGCACAATCATATCAACTCAAACATTACTAAACACAATAAGCTCCCTGTGGCCTCCTTGCAAAGGAAACCACACCTCAGAAAGCACAGCACCCCTGGAATCTCTCCGTGCTCAGAGAAGTGGAATGATTGCAAATGGCATACAGCCTTTCATTAAGTAGGAAGAGAAACATATGTGTGAAAAGTGGTGTGGGGCTAATCCATCTGCCCACCAAGAGCCCTGCCGGCCTGGGCACTTACCTTGTCATGGCTGACCTCGCAGGGGAAGAACTGAAGCCAGCTGCAGCCAATTTGAAACACCTGGGCAGACCGATTTAAAAGGATGCTGCTGCTGCTGCTGAATCAATCCTCTTAGTTGTATGCTTTGTGAGGTTCTGGCGCTCAGTTCTGTTTGCTGCCTGTATGTTTTTTGAAGCAATGGTGGGTGTGGTAGTTGGTCTGAGTAGCTGGGTGTTTATAGCTGAGGGGGGAGATCCAGATGAGCTGGAATATTGATGAGGTAAAGTTGTTGGTGTGTTTCCTCTCCGGATAGAGGTTTGGAGGGCTGCATGTGCTCTGGGCCTGAGGTTCCCCATCGCTGTTGTAGCAGCAAAGCACTGGAATGATCTGTGTGGGTTGTGTTACGTGAAACAAGCATTACAATGGTTGCTCCAGCTGATGGCTTATTTGTTATTACTTTAAATACACTCTGTTGGCATTAAGCACAGCAAGAACTCTAGTAAAATAGGAATGGTGACATTTAAAAATGAAGGCTCTCAAATAGGCTTTTAATCTCTTTCTAATAAGAAAGTTATCTGCTAAACACCAAGTTTAACAGTCATGTAATAAGTCCATATCTATAATATGGCTAATCATGGGTGGGATATGCCTTAATGCTTGGTGTTTAATTAACCTATAAAGCACTTCCTCTTCTTTTTTTGCTCCATCTAAATTACTCTTGTAGCTCTACAACTATTTAAAGTCTCTGAAAGTGTTCTTAGTTAAATATTTTTGCCAACTGTCTGCATTACGCTGCTGGAGAAAGGGGGGGGGGAGATTCCTGGATATTTTTGAGGAGAGGTTTATTAGGTATGGGCAGATCTTGAACAGGACTGTCTTCTCTTGGGGAAGGATTCCCCAAAATTCAGAAATGGCCACTACCAATTCTGGAAGAAATCTTCTCCATAAAAATGCCAGCTTGCAAATGTACACACAATCCTAGTTAAAAATCTATTTAACCCCTACCACCACACAGGGGCGGATGAAGGCGTCGTGACACCCGGGGCTGGGCATTGCTATGTAGGGCACATGTGTGGCGTCGTTATGTACAACACATGCGCCGTATGTAGTGATGCTGCACATGCGCTGTACATAGCGGTTTGCTGGCGCCACCGCTCCAGCACCATACGGACCCTTCCGGGATCCCTCCGTTGCTGCTACAGCCGTGAATGGAGGCTCCTCTACATGTGGCTGTAGCAGTGATGGAGGGATTCCACCGCTGTCCGTCCGGCATTCAAGCAGCGCCGACAGCAAACCGCTATGTACAGTGCATGTGCAGCGTCGTTACGTACAGCGCATGTGTGCGATGCTGCACATGCGTTGTACATAGTGGTTTGCCGCCGGCGCCGGGATCCTCCACTTGCAGCTGCAGCCATGAACGGAGGATCCTCCACATGCGGCTGCACGATGGCTGCTTGCGGTGCCGCGAGCCCCCGTAGGGTGCCTTGTCACCCCCCCAAACATGGCACCCGGGGCACGCTGCTCCCCACCCCCCATTGCGACACCACTGCCACTGCATTAATATTGTAATATCCAGTATTCATGTCAAAACTGATATTCTGGGTGGTAGAATGTGTCTCACTACCATTGTGCTAGCAGTAATCCTTTCACCAACAGTGCCCTGGCTTAGTGCTACATTGGATCCATCTATTCTGTTCTTTCTCTGAGTGGGGCTCTTTCCTTTTACACTGATATTTTCTCTCTCTCATGATGTTAAATGTAAAAAGCAAAACAAAACAAACTCTGCTCACTATCCCTGTGGACTACCTATTCCCTTAGTCTCTTGGTTTTAGTCTCTTAAAGAATTGTGTTACATCTAGGTAACAGATGACAGAGAAAAAAATAGCATCTCTATTTTTAACTTTCTCAAGAATAGGTTCCTCTTGTGTTTTAGGGATTTCGTTTATGAAGTAGCATATAAATATCTTCATTTATTGTATGTTGATATGACTTATTACTTGGGGGGCCCACCAGGTGGCACATTGGAAGATGGCCGACAATAACATCTCTCCGATCCACACGAGGTAATTAAGAGGCTGCTATGGGAAGTATGCAGTCTTCCCGACCCCCCAAGGAGATGGGGGGGACTGCCTTGCCAGCGGTGTCCATAATGCACCCCCGGAATCGAAAGAAGGGGGTGCCGGACACTTGGCATGAGCCCTCGGTGAAGTCGGCTCTTCCTGACGCTGTCTCCAATTAGCGTGTGCTGGTTTGCTTTAGCTCGGAAATATAATTGGAAACATATAATTGGAAAGAAGCTAAAGCACATACATCAAGCAAAGTTTGGGAGATAAGACTGCTGATTAATGGATCTCTGTGATCGGAGCGACGGACGGGACAAATAAATCAAGTGATGAACCACCATTAAGAGATTGGTATGTTTGGAGTGAAACGGAGGGGGGTGGAGGAAAAAACTTTTATTTTCTTTGCCTTATGTGAGTATTAACAACCCTCCACCCCAGAAAGAAGATCGTTGCATGTTATTAATCACAAGCAGGAATTTAAGAACTGTGTGGAGTGAATTATTTATTAAAAGAGAGGATCGGTAAACATCGGAGTACGGAGGAAAATTTTATGACGCAGCTTTAAATGGCGTCTCGCTAAAACAGGCTTGTCTAAGAAAGATGGGGGGAGGAGGACCAGGATCATTGGAATGTGAATGATGATTGGAATGTGATCTAACCTGGCAGAGCCCTCTGTGATATATTTAGCAACCCTGGGAAAATTAAAGGACAGACCGAGGATAAATTCTTTACGGAAGTGTGGAATGGCGTCTGTCCCTATGTGATATGATTTTTGGAAGTGTAAAGCCCACTCAGAGGATGTTTGTTTCCAACCCGCTTGTGAAGATTATCAGAGATCGCAAAGAAAGGAATATATGATAACAACAAGAAGATGAAGAAAGTAATAAAGAGACTATCTGGATAGAACTGTTTAATTAAAGCAGCAATATAAGTGATGCTTGGACCCCCGTTCGGAGCTTGAAGTATGGGTACCCCCAACAAAATTTAAAAATCTGGCTGTATAATTTGAAATTAATGTGATCTGGAAATAATGTGATTTGATTGGCCTGTTAATAAAAATTATTTATAAAAAAAAAGATATGACTTATTACTTGATTTTCCAATTTTAAAAACCCCAGTGATTTTTTAAAAAAATACACATATGTACTTAAACCAACATGAGGATAACAGTCACAGCATAAACAGGTGTAAAGAAAAGTAACTGAAATTTAGAAAAGGCACATTTGCTGGGGACGTGAGTCATAACCTTTTCTGTGGTGGCCTCCCATTTGCGGAATGGCCTCTCCTTACAGGTATGTTGGGTGCCAACATTATTATGAAGACATACCTCCCTAATCAGACTTTTAAGGTATTTAATGACTGTTTTAGCCTTCTGTGTGACTGTTTTTGTTACCTTTGCTAGTGTGTTCAATTTTTTTAAAATTAAATTATTATATAGCTTCACACAGAGAGTGAGACCCCACTTTAGTCACACTGAGCAGACCCACTGAATCCCACCATTTCTGCATATTCATCTTGTAATTTGTATTGTTCTTGAACACAATTTAATAATTCTTGTCTGCTCCCAGAATTTTTGCAATAGTTCTTCCTTAGATGGACTTGCGATTACCTTCCCACATTTTAAAAATAAAATCCTTGTAAAAGTAGGAGCATACAGAACTGGTAATTCCCGCCCCGCCAGTCGGAATATGGCTGCAATATAGTTTAAGTGCATATAACTGGCTCTGACTTCAGCTTTATTTCATATATTTCTCCAGTGAATGCCAGTTGGTTTGCTTTTACTCTTTTTCTTTGGTAAGTTATTTGATACTGTACCCTACCCTGACCTACAAGTCAATGAAGGGCAGGCCATACATCTTTTAAAAATAAAATAAAATACAAAATGCTGTTACTTATTGGTGGACAGATCCTATCTGGAGTACTGAAATAAACAGGCATCCCTATCAATCTGGTTGAGCAGGAAAGGTAAATAGGGAAATTAGAGAAGTAGAGCATTGGTTTTGCATGCAGAAAATCCCAGGTTCAATCTCTGACTTCTCCAGGTATGGCTGAGAAAGTTCACCATCTGAAACTCAGAGGAGCCATTGCTAGTCAATGTAGACCACACTGAGCTAGACAGACCAATGATCTAAGTATTAGGCAGGCTCTTAGGTTCCTATGAGGAATAGTGAAGTAGCATGGCCCCCTTGCTCCCAGTATATAGGTGCCATCAGCGAGCAGGTCCGATTCACATAGGTCGTGGCAATCTGCATTGCATATCCCTTGCAAAATCACACAGTGGCAATCTGTAGTCTGAGGTGAGCGCTGGGAAATGACAGAGAGCCAAGCAAACAAATGTGTCAAAGGCTGGCTAAGCATGAACGAAGTAAGAGATGCTGCTGTGAACAGCTTTAACATTTCCTGAGAGTCTAGGTGAATAGAGGAGGACAGGCCTGGGATGCTGTATAGACTAATAATGAAAACTGGTTATAGAGATTATGCAGCGCGATAGAAAACTTGCCACAATTGTACATTATCATAGAAATGAAAAAAGATCCACTATCTCCTTCTTCAAACACTGCTGAATGCCCTTTAGTTCCGTGCAGATCCCCGAAGCCACGGCAGCCTCAAATAACAGCAGTGTCTGCTGCACAATTAGTTCTGACAGGTGGGCCTTTCCAACAGCCTGCTGCCAGTTGCGGAGGAATTGGACTCCCAGGAGGAAAAGGCATGGAGTCAGGGAGGGACAGCAAATCCTTGAGGTCTCTGGTGATGGGCATCTGTTCTGTGTTTACAGGCCTGCTTCCTCCAGGGCTGCAGGTAAGTGCTCACAGGGAGCTAGCCGAGCCTCTCGCTTGCCCCGTGGGGAAGAGTGTCTTATCACAATCAGAGAGGAATGTTGCTGTCAGGCAGGTTTTTCTACATCTCCTTCTGATCTCTTTTGGCAGGTCTGTGTGCAATCGAGAGCTCTTGACCTCGTGCTGAGTTCTAGCCTGTCACAAAACATGCGCTTCCACAACATGAACTTGATTATAAGAAGAAGAAAGGTGAGGTCTCCAGTTTTCTCCTTCAACTAACTGGAGCAGTCAGTAACAGTAGCCTTAAAGGGTCCGAAGGCATGGTTCACTACCCCCAAATGCAAGCTGTCCATTATCAGTGGCAGACTTTGGGCTTTGAAATTTCAGTGGCACCCTGGGCAACACCAAAACCGGCAACCCCCCTGCTCCTCACCTTCCATTGTTTGTCATGGGTGCAGTGCAATTGCAGTTTAGTGCCCAGTGCGGGCAAATTGGTTGCACCCCTCTAAATCCGCCTCTGCTATGATCATGCATATGTTGGGTGGTTATATTATGTACACGGTGTAGCCAGTTTCAAGGTAGCTGAACTCACATATTCCATTAATGTAGCTACAGTGGTACCTCGAGTTAAGTACTTAATTCGTTCTGGAGGTCCGTTCTTAACCTGAAACTGTTCTTAACCTGAAGCACCACTTTAGCTAATGGGGCCTTCCACTGCTGCCAGAGCACAATTTCTGTTCTCATCTTGAAGCAAAGTTATTAACCTGAGGTACTATTTCTGGGTTAGTGGAGTCTGTAACCTGAAGCGTATGTAACCCGAGGTACCACTGTACTTTGAATGTGGATGTGCATGAATGGCACAGGAGTTTCACAAAGAACGGCCACAAGCATAACAGGAGGACTTCAGTGCTGCGATCTTCTGATTCAGTGCAAGCATTTTGCCCAGCCATTTAGAACAACCCCCCTCTCCTCCTCCCCACTATCCTGGGGTTTCTCCCGTAGCCAATTTTGGGTGCGTGTTGGGAGAAAACTCCATTGCACAAGCTCCTTGTGTAGTGCTTCTGAGGACTAATTAGTTGAAGCTACCCTATGACAACACTAGTATGTGGCAGCTCAAGTCCATCCAGTAGACAGGCTGAATACGGACAACTATTTCATTGTTTTGTGTTCAGGAAAGAGAGGAGAGGCAGTTCTAGACCAACAGCAAATGATGTGGATTTGTTGGCCCCACCCCTACTTGATACCCTCCTCATTATTCTCACAGTAGAGTGGAAGCCTATGTAGCTACAATGTTTTCCTTTAAATATGCCCTTGCTTTCTTTAGGACCATGGCCTTGCTCCATCATTCTCCAACAAAATTCTGCCTCCTCCTCCTCTTATGCTTGTGGGTTCATCCTTCAGCCAAGCCTGTTTTCTGGTGGTCTTTTTCATGCCTAAATGACACCACCATCTACAAAATGGCCTGGCAGACAGCCTGGTCTATCCTCCTACCTTCCACATAGTTGGAACTTTTCAGCTCACTATCTCCTACTTTTGCATTCTGGTCTGGCATTTATGTGGCAAAAATACATGGAGGAAATGTAGCAGCTTCTCCCATCCTTTCTTCTCATCTCTCTCCAGTTATCAAGACATACACAGTATTTGATAAAAAGGAACCTACCATGTCTTGTTACTTTTTCTCAGTTAAGATACAGTTTGAACAGGAACAGTTTATGTTCCTGTTTGTTTATATGTTGCTTTTTGGTTGAAGGCCCTCAGTAATACGATGCCTTGATTAGGTGCAATTAACTTTTTTAAAAAAGCATTGAGCCAGTTTTTTTTAGTTTTGCAGAAATCAGGCTTAAGATACATGGGAAAATATGCTTTTGGTAACTTAGAGAACAGAGGGTGGTTTGCTATATGAGGCAAGAAATAATTCTAGGAACCAGGTCCAGTGTGAAAAATAAGACCACGGAAGAATGTAACTTCAAGCAGGAGTTCTCAGCAAATCAAAACTCTGGCTGTGAGCCGCTTGACGGACTCTGAAAAATACAGGAAGTATATTTGCAACCACTGGATTGGAAAGACAGATGTTTCTCTTATTCCTTCCTGCTTGTGCCTAGCTGTTGTCAGTTCAGCTAATAAACTGTGCCTCTGAGTGTAGCTGGGAGGGTAGTCAGTGGGAATACTACAATAATGCAGCTTGTACTACTAGATATCTATCCTTTGTCCCTCTTATTTACGGTAACATGGGGGTGGGGATAGGATTTAAAACCAAATTGAACCAAGCCACATTAGTAATAAATTTGTGCAGCTATTCTGATTCCAAAATGGATTATTTGTTTGAACAGAAGAGAGAATAATTACTAGAAACATAGCTTAGTGTATATGAAGTCTGCCCAAGAAGCAGAATTGCCACAAAAAAAAGGTGTCACAGCAACCTAATTTCTGGGAGAAAGACAGCCAGGTTACTAAGGCCCGTAGCCTAGATTGTCACCATGCAGTACGTTAACCTCCATTCAAGGTGACTTTAACATACATCTCTGTGTGATGGTTGCATGAGGCGCAGCTGGTTATCAGTGCTGTCCTTCAGCTATCAGTGTAACCTATGACTCCAAAGGGCAGGGAAGGATAATTACGTGTCAGTCTACACTATTTAAAAATAAAACCAGCAGTTCATGGACAGAAACACTGTATTGATTCCAGGATGCTGCATTTGTTCTGTGTCCATGGAGTCAATTAAAGTGCTACTGTATAGTTCAAAGGTGCTGGTTGTTAATGCCAATCAGCTGGCTGGAGCAGGCAGCAAGCCCTGTTTTTGTCCACTTGCAGCCATGGTTTGGAGTCAAACCATACCTGTAAACAGACATTTCCCCCCTTGCAGACTGGCAGAGCTGGTGAATGTGGGCAAGGCTCCTCTGTGAAATCTGGACTTCTGAATGCCCCCAGGGATCCCAGGTGTGTGGAGGGCTATATCTGTGTACAACTACACCACACAGAGGTGATAACTGTGGGGCCATGGCTAGGGGGACACAGCAATGTTGGGATTAAAAGCAGCAAACATAGTCCTGTTTTTCCATGTTTAGTGAATGCATGTCAGCCAAATGAGTGAACAACCCTTAATTCTTTGGGGCAAGCAGTTACTAGAAATACGTTTTTATTTGCATATTAGGAGCTGTACAGTACAAGAACAAAATAATCAAGAGGGCATCTGGCCAACATCCTTTAGGACCTTTTACAGTTATGGAGTAACAACTCTGAGAACAAACACATTGTATGAATGACTTTGAGGAAGGACTGATTTGCTGATAAGAATAGCAACTGAGATGCCAAGCTAAGTCTTGTCCGCACTTGTCCTGCTGCTCTGTACCCCTAAATCAGAGCAAACATCAACTGGGTTTTCCATGGATTGATGTTTGCTCCAATTCAGCAATAAAGAGCGTTTCCCCAGGGAAAGTGATGTGGCAAAAGGAAAATCATCAGACCTTTGCCTAGAAAGCACAGGACAAGCAGAATACCTCTCAGACCTCTGCTTTCCAGACATGGGACAAGTGAAGTATGGATGAACTCTTAGGGTCACTGATGAACTGTTCTGATAGCTAAGCCACTCATCCAACATGTTTACATATGTATTCCATCATGAGATGGTCCCAAGTCTGGGAAAACGTCTATGAACCATGTGGCTCTAATTTACTAAAATCGCTACAGAATTCCAGAACATTCCAGGAAGTTCCTTCTGCAGATTCTAACAATTCTTCCTGTCCTAGAATGACTCTGCACATAAACACTCCATGGAAATGGGAGTCACATAAAGAAAGCCACATTGGAACCAAGCTTTTTACCAACCCCCAGTGACCACTTTTTGCACAATTTATTCTCTCAAGGACCCATTTGTGTCTCCCCACTGAGAAATCAGTTAGCCATAGAGTTGAATGGTGGGGAGACAAGCTCCTGCTTAATACTGTGTAGTACCCAAAACCTGATACACAGCATAAACAATGAAGTATTTGGGAACAGTGACTGCTGTGCTGTCAAACTGAACATACATGTGAGTGTTAAGTCACATGGAAGGCCCAAAGAGATCACATTAAACTTCAAAAGAGTAAACTTCTCAAAGATAAGAGGCATGGTTAAAAGGAAGTTGAAAGAGAGAGTCAAGAAGGTCATGCCTCTTCAGGATGCTTGGAGATTATTTGAAAGCACAACAATAGAAGCACAAATAGAATCTATACCTCAGATTAGGAAGGGTATAGACAGATGCCCAAGAGGACGCTGGTGTGGTTCACAAACTCAGACAGGGAAAGGCAATATTTCCATTTAAAAGCTCTTCTCAAATCAGGAAAATATGAAAAGCACAAATTCTGCAAAATGTGAGTCAATAATAAGGCAGATAGGTATGTTGGGATTTTGCCTACGTGCTTTGATCCAGCTTTCTCACAGAAGCAATTAGTGAGTTGGCCGAGGATACAACTCTGCTATTGGTCTAGGTTACCCATATAGGCAGGATGACTCATGACTTCTGTGTGGTTGGTCGGTCTATTTGGAGTTAGCTGAAGTTGAGTTCAGTGAGAGAGAGTTAAGATCCATGTCTTTATCCTGTGTATAGTAACTTGTGAGTCTGCTGTAAATAATAAACCTCTAAGTAACCAAGTTACTAGCGGGCAGCGTTTTGTTCTTGGTCATCATGTCAGCTTGCAACCAGATACTTCCAGAAAGTCTGTGAATACTCTGCAATATTCAACAAGGTATGGCTTTGAGGACCATATTATTAGAAACCTTAAGACACACAATAAAAACACATTTAAGCAAAGGAATCAGCTCAGGAGGTTATTGGACAAAGGCGAGAAATGATCATGGAAGAAACAGAAATTGCAGAGAAGCTGAACCAATTGCTTGTGTCAGTCTTCACAGCAGAAGATAATAAACAGATATCCATACCTGAACCATTTGTTTTTTAGAGGGTGCCAGAATTATCAAGTCAAACAGAACTGACACATAGGCAATTTGAAAAATACAAAACTAACAAGTTTTGAAAATATATGTACCTGGGAGTTTAATTTAACAATTTAAATTGTTGACATTGAATAAAAATATGCATCACTGAAGTTAGCATCTGAACTGTAGGATTGGGAAGGAAGCTAATGCAAACCAATCTTTACAGAGAGGACAGTTCTAGCCTTGCCTAGAGATGCTACGTACAGTAGTACCTCGGGTTACAGACGCTTCAGGTTACAGACTCCGCTAACCCAGAAATAGTGCTTCAGGTTAAGAACTTTGCTTCAGGATGAGAACAGAAATCGTGCTCCGGCGGCGCGGCAGCAGCAGGAGGCCCCATTAGCTAAAGTGGTGCTTCAGGTTAAGAACAGTTTCAGGTTAAGTACGGACCTCCGGAACGAATTAAGTACTTAACCCGAGGTACCACTGTATTGATCTTGGGATGCTCTACTCCTGAGCCTACTGGCCTTCCCAAGGGCCAGCATCAACAGTAGGCATTGCTGGACATCTGCTGAAGCCCATGTCCCTGAAGGGGGCCCACTGCCATTATCTAGTTGCACACCTTCTTGGGAGTGAAGGCTCCTCAGTTCCATTAGCCACAACTCAGTGCATAGACTTGGGCTGCGCGTCTATGAGGAGCAGGATAGGGGCCTCCAAGCAGAGGAATAAGGCAGGCAAAGAGCAAACCCCATCTTAGGGCAATTGGAGAAGAACACAAATGTGCTGTTTTAGTTAATTAATTGCATCTATTTTTAATCTAATCTATATCTCAGCTGTGATCAAGTCACTAAAAGGCTGTTTGATGGGTGTTTCTTTCACTGGTTAAAGTAGCTGTGCAGAATCCAGCCCTGGAAATACCAGCTTATAGGTATCTTTAAGCAAATGGCTACAAAACGATGATTTGAATGACCTGGAAGGTGCAATGCAGATGCTTTGGGTCTGGGACTCAAATGTTTGAGTGGCTGTGACAACACCTGTACCGACTGCACTGGTTATGCAAGCAGCCCCAACATGAACATTGGCAGCATGCGGGCCTCGGAGGAGGTTTGTAAAACAAGCGTGGCCTTTTTGCGTCAGGAGCCCTGGACAGCCGTCGGAACCAGATGGAACTGTTTGTGACACCAGCCTACCTCCAGAGCACATGGGAAGGCATGTGTGAAATTGCTAATATTTCACCATCTTTGTTCTTGTAACAGCAGAGTGAGGAAAGGCTTATTGTGATTTTTGCAGGGGTTGCGGGGAGGGCAGAGGAGGAAACTGGATTTGCATTATTCTTCTGAAAGATGGAAGCGCTAATGGCCAGAATAGGAATGAGAAGAATGTGGAAATGAGTCACAGGTTTATCCATGCATGTTTTTGTGGTACATTATTCGGTTTGCATTGCATTTGCACAGATACCTCCCAAGCTCCATCATGGGAGCAATCCATGGGTCCCTACCTCTGTTTACATATTATGTTCCCCTAAGAGGAAAGTTTACAACTTGTGGGGGGCGGGGTTAGTTCAGAAAAAGATGAGTAAGTGGGGATATGATGGTGCTGTATAAGATGATGCATGCTGTGAAGAAAATCGAGAGAGAACAGTTTTTCTCTCACAGTGCTAGAACTTGGGAATGCTGGCAGATTCAGGACAGACAAGTACTTCACATGGTGAATTTGCTTCCACAAGATGTAGTGGTGGCCACCAACGTGGATAGGGGATGAGACAAAATCATGGAGCAGAAGCCTATCAACCAGTCATGGTAGTCACTACCTCCAAGATTAAAATCAGCAGTGCATTTCCAGAGTGCATGTCCAGACTATACTCGGCTTTCCCTTGCATCTGTAGAATGAAACCCAAGAGGACATGACCTCTTCCACCCAAGGTTCCCAGTACTTTCCCTTTGTCAGTCAGTTCCTCCTGGTTGGTGAGGACCACGTCCAGGATAGATGATCTCCTTGTTGCTTATGAAGAACCATAAAAAGGAAGTGCTTTAAAGTTACACATCAACAGTTAGCACATGGATAACAGAATGAGGTACACAAGTCACTTGGTCATAGTCTTCCCCACTCTAGGGAGATGTATTCTGTTATGATTTAATTTATAGTAATAATGTCTAAATCTGCATATATTCATATAAATTAGAATATGCAAATTATATGCAACCCTGTTACCGCCTCTCATTGAGCTTCCTCTCTCCCCCTTACTCCAGTTCCCATTGCAAGTTGTTCAAACAATTCATTCAGTCATCTTTAAAAAAAGACCTCATAATTGCACTTTGTTCTTGAAGTCTTCTTTCCCTAACACTTTTCTCCTTTGGCACTCACCACTGGAGGAAAAGCTGTGGCCAGACACTTGGCTAGGTGACTGAAGGATAGCCAGATTGCTCAGCTATGTCCGGAGATTTAACATTGTTAGCAGAAGGATATAGACTCATTATCGGAGTGTGCTAATTTTAGAAGGTGACTTGTCAATGTCACACAGCACGTCCAAGGAATCCGGCTTGAAAAGAATTGTGCTGTATTTTATCTATCTAGCCTGACAATAGGATTGCATAGTGGCTGTTGGGCTGTTTGCTGAGCATATGGAACTTGAGCACTCACTGGCTGGTGGCCAGGCATCCAAAAGTTAAATTGATGGGTATTGCCACAAGGACTTCCAGCCTGTGCAAATTGCACAGAATGAGGCCTGCTTTAGTTTTGCTTTCTTTCCTGGGAGTCTTCCTCACAGAACAAAGCCAGCAGGTATAACTTCTTCTGCTCTCCACACCCTAGGACAGTGTTGTCAACCTTTTTGGGTCTGTGGGCACACGTTTGTGAAGTAGAGAAAATGTTGTGGGCACTGCACCCACACTGCCACTAGCCACACTCTGCAACCAATTCTGCTATTAAGATCCATTTCAATCTGGGTTCAAGCCTGGCCACAGAACTGAATTGGCCTGGATAGCTCTGGCCTTTGCAAAGAGCAGGACAGGGGGAGTGCAACCTTGCTCCTGCTTCCTGATCTCTTGTTGGCTTTTGAAACCCTTGACCATGGTATTCTCCTGGACTGGCATGGTTGTTTAGTCGTTTAGTTTTGTCCGACTCTTTGTGACCCCATGGACCAGAGCACGCCAGGCACTCCTGTCTTTCACTGCCTCCCGCAGTTTGGCCAGACTCATGTTTGTAGCTTTGAGAACACTGTCCAACCATCTCGTCTTCTGTCGTCCCCTTCTCCTTGTGCCCTCCATCTTTCCCAACACCAGGGTCTTTTCCAGGGAGTCTTCTCTTCTCATGAGGTGGCCAAAGTATTGGAGCCTCAGCTTCAGGATCTGTTCTTCCTGCGAGCACTCAGGGCTAATTTGGGGACACTATTACAGTGGTTCTGCTCCTATCTTTGTGACAGAGTCCAGGGAGTAGCTCTGAGAAAGGCCCCTGACGGCTACATTATAGGCTGCTGAAGGGGACTATTTTATCTCCAGTGCAATTTAATATCTACATGAAGCAGTTGAGAGTGGTCATTTGGCATTTCAAAGCAAGATGCCAACAGTCTACTGATGACACTCAGCTCTATTTCTCCATAACATCTGAATCAGGAGAGGCCTTGCAATCTCTGAGCCATTGCCTGGGCACAATGGTGATATGGATGAGGAAAAGCAAGCTGAGCTTGAATCCTGGCACTGTGGGTGAGGAGTTCCCATGTCTTAGAGACTGGTCAGCTGCCTACCCTGGATGGGGTTGCACTCCTCCTGAAGGAGCTGCTTCTGGATCCAGCTGTGACTGGAGGCTCAGGTAGTCTCTGTGGCTAGAAGTACCTTTGACCAACTGTGGCTGGTTCCATAACTACAGCCATTTCTGGACCAGGAAAGCCTTGCCACAGTAGTTCATGCATTGGTTACTGGCATCGAAGGGCTGTGTCAGATCAGTATCATAGCATGCATGTTTGTACAGGTTTCCTCTATTGCAAATATTAATATTGCACAGCTTGAAGCAACTGGATACATCATGGTGGCACAAGGCGCATGAGAACCACATGGGGCCAAGTTGGCACTGCTGAAATAACTTACAGTCAGAGCGCGTTATGTTAGCGCGCTCTCTCTCTCTCAACAAGCATTCCAGACCCAAGGAGAGGCATGTTACTCCCACTAATGCCCGAGAACAAAGACTAAAGGCAATCCCCTTTCAAAATGGAGCTTTGCAACCGATTACCTTTGTTAAATGATCAAAGGTAAACATTCAATATTAGAGCAGAGAACAACAACAGTTAATTATCAACCCACCTAGGAGCTTAGAGTCCTTTAGTATGCTGACATGGAAAAACCCTAAATGTTAGCAATACACAGAGAGAGAGCTTTATTGCGGTCCATAGACCTAAAATACACAGTACAATAATCAACAGTTATTAAGGTGTAAGATCGCTTCTCAGCCTTTTGGCTAAGATCAAGTGTCGTTGGCAATACACATTTAGCCATTCTCCATTTCAGTGTCAATTAAAGAGTTATACTTAACAGTAATCCCTTTTTCCCACTGTGTTCCTGATCAGAACTGCTGTTTGCATCGAGAGAAAAGCTCCCATCAGCTCTGAGATCTTCCACAATTAAATGGAAAAGGGTATTTGGCATTTTCCATGTGGCTATTGTAGTGTTTGCTCAAACCATATGAAGTCAAAATTCTATTGGCCAATCCAATAGACAACCGATAATACTGCATTTAAAAAATGGTTAATATGGTATGAAGGGAATTGTCTTATGCCGTTAAAAGTCCTAGTAAATTGATTTATGTCAGAATGACTACAAGGGCTGCTGAGATAAAATCTGCAAACACAAAAGATTAATTATAGACAGCAGATTGCAAGGTCCCTTGGTGAATCATTTTTGCGATTTGGAGCACAGCAAGAAGGGCCTGAAATTTTGGACTCTAGAGGAGTCCAACTTAAAGCCCTTTCTCCACAATGCCAGAGCCCCAATCAGAATCAATGCTCCTTGTCTTTAACTTTCCTTCTAAAAAGCCATTCTTGTAATTGCTAATTAAGGTAAAAAAGGTAAAGGACCCCTGGATGGTTAAGTCCAGTCAAAGCATGAATTGCATTTTGGGTAGTGTTGGGCTCTTTCCTCCCTCTGTAGTTCAGATTCCCTGTATGGAATGTTATCACTTTGGGGCCTAGTGCTCTCTTTCCACATACTTTATTGGTCTAAAATTGTAACTTGTCATCCTTCCCCCTCCCAAATCGTGCCCTTCAACTCCATTCCTTATTCTCACAGTTCCACAAGTTAGAATTTTGGAAATGCAAGTTGTTCTGCCAAGGGCAGGGTTCTTTCTGGATCTGGAGCCAATAAGCACACCAGTGGATGAAGAATAAGTAATGCTTTATTTGCATAAGGTTAACAGATAAACCACAGAGCCTAGGGCTTGCCGATCAGAAGGTCGGCGGTTCGAATCCCCATGACAGGGTAAGCTCCTGTTGCTCGGTCCCTGCTCCTGCCAACCTAACAGTTCAAAAGCATGTCAAAGTGCAAGTAGATAAATAGGTACCGCTCCAGCGGGAAGGTAAACGGCATTTCCGTGTGCTGCTCTGGTTCGCCAGAAGTGGCTTAGTCATGCTGGCCACATGACCCGGAAGCTGTTTGCGGACAAACGCCGGCTCCCTCGGCCTATAGAGCGAGATGAGCGCCACAACCCTAGAGTCATCCGCGACTGGACTTAATGGTCAGGGGTACCTTTACCTTTAACAGATAGCAGCAGGCATACAAAACACAAATTATAGCATACCACACAGAAATCACACACAATCTCCCCTTCAGCTGCCCGAAGCTCCAGGTAGAGCAGCGAGAGAGACCCCGGCCACCAGTCTCACAGCATCTGGTACCTCAACCTGTGAAGAAGCTCTCTGAGCCCCTTCAACCTACAACTTTTATAGCCAACTTTGATTGACTTGATTGACTGTACCTGGTTAGCAGGCATCACTCATTATCAGCCCAGGACACCGGGAGTGACTCAACAGGAATGCGGAGCAGCTGAGAGTCTCCAACCCAATTCACTGCAACTGGGTATCCTCCCCACTAGCCAATCAGCACTTAGAACAGGAGACCCAGGAAACTCCTGACACAGGTGCGTGGAAAATAAGTTATATCAGCATGAACTGGCAAACTTTAAACCAGGGATGTAAAAGGAAAGAGACACGTCATCTAACTCCTCGAAATTACAATGGTTTTCTGCGTTTCCCCTACACAAGTATATAGTGGATCACCCTCAGCTACTTGCTTGCCGGCACCATCCAAAAGAAGCCTAAAAGCCTCAATAATATTTTTGCATCAATTTACCTTGGCAAGTCTTTAATTGCCTAAGTTCCCGAGGTCTTTTAAAGAAAGGTGTTAGGATGGCTATCTGCCAATCTCCTGGGAAGGAATCTGATTTACATATTCACACCTTATATTTAAAAGTTCAACAATTTAGCATTTTAGATCTTTTTAGAACTCTTGGGTAAATGCCATTCAGCCATCGTAGCTTACTTTCCCTGTGTCAGTTACTTCTAATATTTTGGCCTTTGTCACCTTTGTTTGACCTAGTTATTCAGAATCACTTGGTGGGCAGGGGAGAATGGTTCAGGAGTCGATCTCTCTACTATAATACCTTCTGAAGCAAAAAAAAATTCATTCAGCAATTTCCCTGTGATCCTTCTGTGCTCCTTTAACACTGCTCCTTCTCTGGCTGGGTTGCAGCTTCGGATATATTAAAAGCCCTTAATTAAAGCTTCCTTTCAATAAACCGAATGTGGGACAAGGCTTTGTTCTATGACCAGGTTTCTGTCTCCTTAGCTTGGACTTAGTGTAGCACTTGGCAGATTTTAGACACTGGATTTAATGGGCTCATGAAAGGGGTGGGGCATGAGCCCATTAAGTCCAGAGTCTAAAGTTAAAAAAGATTAAGAACCTCTGGATGGTTAAGTCCAGTCAAAGGCGACTATGGGGTTCTGGCACTCATCTCACTTTCAGGCCAAGGGAATCGGCATTTGTCCACGGACAGCTTTCCGGGTCATGTGGCCAGCAGGACTAAACCGCTTCTGGCGCAATGAAACACCATGACTAAAACCAGAGCGCACGGAAACACCGTTTACCTTCCTGCCGCAGCAGTGCCTATTTATCTACTTTGCACTAGCGTGTTTTCAAACTGCTGGGTTGGCAGGAGCTGGGACACAGCAACAGGAGCTCACTCTGTCGTGAGGATTCAAACTGCCGACTTTCCAGTTTCAAGCCCAAGAGGCTCAGTGGTTTAGACCACAGTGCCACCCACATCCAGAGTCTAAAATCCAGGTCCAGAGTCTAAAATCTGCCATGTGACAGTGGCCATGCATTGGGCGGGGGGAGGGGAGAGATGTGTGAAGCGCCTCATAGGTTCCCTGTATAAATTGTTGTTGTTGCTGCTTGTTATTGTTAACTGAATTTATATACTGCCCTATACCTGCAGGTTCACAGGATAAAAGGATCCCTATAATGATCCCTACACCCTGTTGTGGAATGCATGGCCATCATGGTGTGTGGCCAGCAGGTGTGTTAACATCAGGTGTTGGAGGCAGAGCTAGGAAGTGCAGTCTTTGTGCCGGAAGAGTGAAGCAGCAGTAATGAGATCTTAAGGAGGCTTCATGGATATCCAGACCATGACATGCTGTAAGCAAGATCAGAGCCAATATGCTTCCCAAAAATATGTTGATATGCACCTGCGCTTCAGATTATACACTTCAGTATATATATCTCTATATCTATTTATAATTGAAGAAATGCCAGTGTTTCTGGATGGAACTCACTATATACGTTGTGGATTTTTATTTTATTTTTATGGACTGCTTTGAAGCTTACCCCCACCCCCCCTGCAATTGAAACTCGGCAAATCAAAGGCAATTCATCCTCGGAACCAGTGATTGACTCAAGCCAAACAATGCTTTCTGATTTATCATAATTGAAAAGATTGCAAGACAGGAATAGGATTGGGCTGCAACTCAGAGAGTGCAAATGCTTTATGACGAGTATCATTACATTTGTATGCTCTATCAATTCTGCATTATGGGGTTTATTTGCTTTTTTAATATATAATTTTATATTAAGTGAATTTAATGCTTGGAAATGACCAGCAGTTCTGGAAGTAGAAGTTTAATCTACTCACTGCAAAAACAGAAAAGCCTTTCTAGGGCTGAGATTCTAATTCTGCATGGCTAACATGCCTCATCCCTGATCAGTTTAGGATATTGTATTGCATTTACTACAGGCAATCAGCTCAAGTGCTCAGGACAGATTCTATTTCGTTTCCAAAATACTCTGTAAATGAAAAAATGGAATTTAAAATGCATGCAAGTTACATTGCTAGCCAAGTCACTTTACAGTATGGAAATATGTGATTTAACTATATTTTCTTTTCTGAATCGCATGCATTTTGCTCTCTGACTTACCCGTTTACTAAATGTCTTCAGTATGTGAGCCACCCCCAATCTCTGCCCAGTGGTTGCAGGATTCCAGGGGGTTTCAGGCACTTACCTAGAGTCGTGCTTGCATTTAAAATTCAGGCACATCAGAGACTGTGGTGTTTAAAGATATATGGTTTATTTTACACTTGTATACACCTGGGTCTAGGTGGAGGAAGAGAGTTCACAGCATTATATATCCAGAGAGACTTGTTCCCCACAGCAGCGCAGCACTGAAGCCCAAGGCATCCTGCACACCATCTCTGTGCCTCTGTCCCAGCCTGTCAAGATGGTTCTGCCCTGCATGGCCTCTGCCTGGAGTTCTGGCACCTCCTTTCCCCTTCCCAATAATCTTTGCTAAGCGGGCCCTCCGTGTTCTCCAAACCTTTCTGTTTTTAAAGGGACACATTTACCCTGTTACATCACACACCTTCGCCTTGGCAGGCTCCCAAATCTCCTGTCTGTGTCCACTCCTTGGAGCAGGGGGGAAGGACAGCTGTTTGCATCAGCAATTGCACTTAATAGCCCAATACCTGACTCCCCATTGTTCCTTAATGGCTCTGCAGTTAGCTAGCCCAGCCATATGGGTTTGCATAAGCTAACCCAGAAATTTCTTGTCTGGAATGATCTTAATTATTTATTAGTAATTTTTACCATTCACTATCAGCCTCTGGTACCCTAGATCTATGGCAATATATTTGAGCATCAGGAGCATTTTGATGACTCTTGCATTCCCACCAAACTCCAGAAATTAAGGAAGAGCCAAGTAGTGTGCAATTGAAGCTAATACACTCATCAACACCCAGAGCTCATTAGTCTCATGGTATTGCACAGTTGGAGGGAGAGAGTAAGATAAATAAAATAACCCTGAGACCAAAGAGGAAGAGGAAGCCTTCCCACAAAGAATTCTGTAACTGGAGTTTACCCCTCACAAAGCTACAATTTCCAGCACCCTTAACAAACTAAGTTCCCAGAATTATTTGGAGGAAGTCATGTGCTTTCAATGTACATTGACTATATGGTGTGCATGCAGCCCAAATCCTTTTGACAGTGTAGTAATCTCTTGGTGTCTGAATTGTTCATTCTTGTCATGTTATTCCACATTCATTTCAACCAAACTTTCTAGTCACTTATCACTTTTGCCAGGAAAGGTGAGACCTTCTTGCCACTCTGAAGAAACTGTTCTTAGGTTGGCAGCCTTAGAGAGGCTGTCTGCTGGATTTACTGAGTCTCAACCCCACCCTGTAATATATTTTAATTATAAAAATGCCTCAAGCCACCCAGATTTTACTTATCAGACGAAACAGGGGGAAAGGATAAAGGGCTGGGAGACTGGCCTTAGTCATACTCTGCTCAGATGCCAACTTATTTTTCAAAAATCAGAATTGCCTTTTCTGAGTCACCCTTGTGAATAATTCCCTGAGTGACACCTTAGAATATTATTCCTCATAAATCAGGCATTCGTTAAAGTAAGGGCAAGTTTGGATAATTCTATTGCAGCATTGTTGTTGACCTTGATTGCTAATTTTCTTTTTTCTTTTTGCCTTGATTGCTATTTAGGTTTTCTTTAAAAAAATATTGTTGGCTTAGTGATGATAAATGTTATATAACTGTATTGGCTGTCTTAAAGTGTGTGTAATCTGCCCTGAGACTGCTTTTAAAGTTGAAGGCAAACCCCACTTTTCTTTGGGCCTTTAAAGGAAACTCTCTCTCTCCCCCCGAACTTACATGAGTCTTTGGAGATTTCTCAAACTACAGGAAGATCCATGAAAGAAACCTGGGGGCAATTAACATCCTGGTACACATCCTACATCCCTTAGATCTATTTTGCAGCAATCCATTTACAGACTAACTTCTCAGGTGCACAGATGGGGCACTTCTATACTTTCACTATTTAATGGTGGGATCACATACAGGCAAATTCAGATGGAGCAAGTATAGTTGATTGGGAGTTTCTGTGCAATAAGCCCCCTTTCCCAAAAGAATAGAGTTTTTGCAAAAACAGAAGTGATGGATAAATGCACTAGAAAGTGAGGGATAACACTTGCACTGATGTAATGTCATGTAACAACAACAACAACAACAACAACAACAACAACTTATTTATACCCCGCCCATCGGGCTGGATTTCCCCAGCCACTCCCCGCAAGCAAAACAGAATGAATACTCCTGAAAGAGCAAACATTATCTAATCTCTCTGCAAGGAAATCAGGATGAATGCTCAATAAACAGGTTGCCTGGAAGTATTCAAAGGTAATGCAAATAACAGATGATGAGTGTGGTTTGTGAATCAGGTTGAATTTCCTAGAAGAATCTCTACTCTCTACCCCATTGCTTCCAGCTTTACCCACCAGAATGTTATGTTTACTTTAGTAAAAGTAAAGGGACCCCTGACTATTAGGACCAGTCGTGGCCGACTCTGGAGTTGCGGCGCTCATCTCGCTTTATTGGCCGAGGGAGCCAGCTTACAGCTTCCGGGTCATGTGGCCAGCATGACTAAGCTGCTACAGGCGAACCAGAGCAGCGCACAGTTTACCTTCCCACTGGAGCGGTACCTATTTATCTACTTGCACTTTGATGTGCTTTCAAACTGCTAGGTTGGCAGGAGCAGAGACCGAGCAACGGGCGTTCACCCCATCGCGGGGATTCGAATTGCCGACCTTCTGATCGGCAAGTCCTAGGCTCTGTGGTTTAACCCACAGCACCACCCGTGTCCCTTCATGTTTACTTTAGATACCTCTTTTTAGCCGAAAGGCCAAGCAGTGAACAGCATATGAAGGAAAGAGATGACAAATGTCCAATAAGTCCAATAAATACATCTCAGCAATATAAAATGGCCAAACCACAAAATAAAAAACCACCATTTGTGCTTCCACTTTGCACAGTCACTTAGGACTTACAAATTCGTTTTGGCTGAAAGCGTGTTGACGCAGTGCTTTAAACATTATACCTGAATTAAAGTCCAGATCGTGTTCAGTCCTAATTAATTTGCTACTCAGGTTTTGGGATTGCCAGTTACTGTACATGACAGCTAGGAGTTGTTTGAGGAAGAGGGAGCAGTGGGGGAGCAAATGACTTTCCATTTTCTCATTTTACATTCACTATCAGAAGCGAAAGCCTGGCCTTGCATATGTTGGTGTTGTGTGTAGTGTGAAATCCGCTGAGACATTTGTGCACCGTCATGCTTTTCACCACTATATTTTACAAATTGTGTGCTCCTGCATAGTTAATTGCAGGGCTGAGTACTTTCAGTACTTGTTTTCTTTTCTCCCCCATCACCATTCCTGGGCTGATAGTATTTACTTAGCAGGCATTCATCTAAAGAAAAACATCACTACTTTTTATCTAAGTCAAAGTGAGCTTTAATATATATATATATATATATATATATATAGAGGGGGTTAGACTCAGTGTTGTCTATTGTTTTTGGATCTATGAACCAAGCTAGATGTGATGGCATACCTCTTAGAGACCCTGGAGAATCACAGTGGATCAGTGAAGACAGCAGAGAGCTGGACCATCTAAATCAGTATAGGTAAAGGTAAAGTTAAGTCCAGTTGCAGATGACTCTGGGGTTGCGGCACTCATCTCACTTTACAGGCCGAGGGAGCTGGCATTTGTCCGCAGGCAGTTTTCCTGGGTCATGTGGCCAGCATGACTAAGCCGCTTCTGGCGCAACGGAACACTGACACCAGAGCAACACATGGAAATGCCATTTATCTTCCCACTGGAAGCGGTACCTATTAATCTACTTGCACTTTTTGGTGTGCTTTCGAACTGCTAGGTGGGCAGGACCTGGGACTGAACAATGAGAGCTCACCCCTTCTTTAAATCACCTTGCGTGTGTTGGCTTAAAGGTGGGATATAAATGTGGTAAACAGAAAAGACTGTAGCTCATGCAAATCTGCCCAGGTTTTGAGATCTTTGGGGGAGGGCCTTCTCTCAGTCCTGCCACCCTCATGGGAACACTTGGCAGGGATGTAGGAGAGGGCCACCTCAGCAGCTGAAAGTCCCTCCCTAGAGAAGTCTGACTGGCTCCCTCTTTGTCCGTCAGCCGGCAGGTGAAGACTTTCTTGTTCCAACAGGCTTTTGAGAACTGACCGCTTTTAATGAGAGGGCTGGTGCCGTGCTGTTTTTATTGTAATTATCTGTATGGTTTTAATAGATTTTGTTTATGTATAGAGTTTTAATTCTATAAATGGTTAGTTGGTTTTTTTTCTATGTTTTTAGCAGTTCTTATTTTTATCTATAAGGTAAAGGTAAAGGACCCCCAGATGGTTAAGTCCAGCCAAAGACGACTATAGGGTTGTGGCGCTCATCTCACTTTCAGGCCAAGGGAGCCGGCGTTTGTCCACAGACAGCTTTCCAGGTCATGTGGCCAGCAGGACTAAACCGCTTCTGGTGCAACGGAACACTGTGACAGAAACCAAAGTGCACAGGAGACCATTTACCTCCCCGCCACAGCAGTACCTATTTATCTACTTGCACTGGCATGCTTTCGAATTGCTAGGTTGGCAGGAGCTGGGAAGAGCAACAGGAATTCACCCCGTTGCAGGGATTTGAACCACTGACCTTCTGATCGGCAAGCCCAAGAGGCTTGGTGGTTTAGACCACAGTGCCACCCATGTCCTTTTTATCTGGAAGCTGCCTTGAGTCCCATCAGGGACAAAAGGCAGAACTGCTGCTGCTGCTGCTACTACTACTACTACTACTACTACTACTACTACTCAGTGGTAGAGCATCTACATGCAGAAGGACCCAGGTTCCATTCCTGGTGTGTCTAGGAAGGGCTGGGAGAGATGCCTCCATGTAATCTTGGACAGGTGCTGTCAGTCAACGTAGACAATACTGATCTAGACAGACCAAGAGACTCACACAGTAGAGGGAAGCTTCTGTTGTTCCTATGCTCCTAAAAACCATAATTTCACAGGAGCAAAACTTCCCAAGGATCCCCACCCCTAACCTTTTCTCTTCTGCATATCCTGGGGTGCTTCCACAAGGGCAAAAGAAACCGAAATCCTATCCAGGTTCCTTTGATCCCTGGTTAGTTGACAATCCCATGTGCCTTGAACAGTTGGGCTCAGCTGTAAGGCATGAAAAGAGAAACTCAATATATAAAGGTCCCAGCTGACTGGTCTGGCAAGGGGCAAAAAGGGACTAAGTGAACATTGGAAAGGACCATAATAATAGGAGCAAATTATTCCCAGAGTGTGAAGCTGTGGGCTTTTTCAAGGTCTGAAGAGGATGCAGAAGTGCTGTTGGTTGACATTAGATGGCCTTGCCAGAAAGGGCATCAAGCTGAAATAAAATATTAACGTATCTAACAAGCATGTTACTAGCAGCCTGAATTAGTTCACACATGCATTGTAAAACTTGATTTCCCATTCCTTTATTTTTACTTTGTTTTATGCTTGGTTGAACAGCGGCTGAATGTGAGAACTGTGTCCGCTGAGAAGCATTGCATTAGAGGTGATGCAAGACAACATGATGAACGTTTTATCTCTGGTATTTGATCTGTGATGGCTTTTCATTCAAGTAAACAACCACTTGACATGACAGACATAAAGTGATGAGCATGTAGTTATGAACTAAGCCTTTTCCACTGATGTGTACACATGATTGCAGCAGTACTGCTAAACTGGCACTGAGAGTAAGCGGCCGAAAAACAGCTTCATCTGTGTTACTGGTGGCATGCTAATGTTGATGCATTGACATGCACACAAGTATGCTTTAATATGTATTTTTACTGTTGTAAACTGCTTGGAGATTTCTCTCCCCGTAAGCAGTATAGTAATATTTAATAAACCATGCATAGTAGAATCATGGAATTGGAATCCCTTAGGATCATCTAGTCCAACCCCCTGCAATGCAGGAATATGCATCTGTGGGGATCAAACCTAGTGCCAGAAATCACCACAGAACATCTAAAGATAACAGCCTGTTAGTCATGTTATATGTAGACATTTATCCTCAAAGTGAGAATTAGCCAAAGTCGCACTACAAACTTGTGGTTGGTAGGATTTGAATCCTTGGCCCCCTAGATTCAACGAGTGGTCCAATGGACTACATTTCTTGCTAACCAGCTTTAACTTTAAGATTCCATAATACACCTTCTACTTTAAATATCCAAAAGACTTTTACCCGAGAAAGGAATAATGGGTTCTCTTAGCTATACAATTGAATCTGCAGCTTCAGCCAAGGCTGGTCTAGACACATCAAAGAAGCATTTCAGTTAAATGCATTGTAAATTTAAACAGGGAAAACAGGTAGAGAAAAACAGGACTCCATAGCACCATATTGTGGCACAATGCAATATTGCATATACAACACATATAAATCACTTTTTCTTTACCAGTCTAGCTGAGCCCCAATTCCATTTTAAGCAGTGGCTGCTTCTTTGACTAATGTTTTCCCTCCTGCATTCCTCCCTCACTTCATTGGCTTAAACAGATGATTCCTTTTTGCATAAACAAACGAGTCACAAGAACAACCTGAAAAGGGGAAAATAATGCTACATATAACACTGTATAAGTGCTAGTGTGGGCTGTACTTCAAAAGGCCAAGACCAGCTCTCAACTACACTCTGTTTATACCCCACTCTTCTTCCAAAGGGAGCCCAGGGTGGTAAACAAACAAGCAATAAAACAAAAGATCTAAGAACAATTCTAATACAGTGGTGCCTCGCAAGACGAAATTAATTCGTTCCATGAGTTTTTTCGTCTTGCGATTTTTTTCGTCTTGCGAAGCACGGTGTCGGGAAAGTTTTGGAAAAGCTTCAAAAGTCTTCAAAAACCTCAAAAAAGGGGGGTGCTTGGGAGGGAGGGAGAGGCGGGCGCGGGGCGTGGGGGGAGGCAGGGCAGAGGTTGCTGCCTGAGCCCCCCGGGATCAGTTCGGCTCGCCTTGCTCCGACCCTTTGCACTACAGTCGGCGCCGTCTTGCTGCTGCTGCTGCTGTCGCCGCGGTAGTCAAAACTCCTACTGGCCTAAAAGTTGTCTGGTGCAAAATCCCTTCTGCAGCAGCAGCCCGAAAGAATGCGCGCGCGCCAGCCAGCCAGCCGCCCGCCGGGGGCTGGTGGGTGGGTGGGAGGGTCGGCGAGGGTGGATGCATTTTGCCCCTGTTGCTGCTGAAGCCGGCCTGCCAGCCAGAAGCGCGCGAGCGGAGAGGGGTGCATCCAGCCCGTTGGAGAGGAGCGCGGGGGCGCGTCCCTGGTGGCTCCCGAGCTGACCTTGCCTGGCCCGGCGCCTTCCACGCTGCCAAAGGGCGACTCACCTGCTGCCTGCGCTGCGCCGGGACTAACTCGAGCGGGTCTAGGATTACACACACTCGCGAGCACACACACTGAGAGGCAAACTTGCCGCAGCCGTAGGCGTCGCGGGGTTGGAAGCGCCCGGGCAGGCGCTCTTGTCACCGCCGGGGCGCTGGGGGAGAAGGAAGGAGCCCCGTCCGAAGAGCCCCGGAGCCTGGCCTCCCTAACTGGGAGTTGTGGGGAGGAAGTGTGCGCGCCTTGCTATTTTCGCCGAAACAAAGCTCCCTCTCCCTCAGAACCCGCCTTCACGCGTTCTTGCCCCTACGGAGACGCACACCGCGTGCTATGAGTTGCTCCTCGAAGTCAAGTCGCAACTGTATTAATGGTTTTAAGAAAAAGGAACAAACTTGCAAGAGGTTTCCGTCTTGCGAAGCAAGCCCATAGGGAAAATCGTCTTGCGAAGCAACTCAAAAATGGAAAACCCTTTCGTCTTGCGAGTTTTCCGTCTTGCGAGGCATTCGTCTTGCGAGGCACCACTGTACAGATGTAGACTGTGAAAAATCCCTGCTTAAAAGGCTTGTTTATATCTATCAAATGGGCTAATATGTTGGGACTTTCTCTCTCCTTCCCTCTGGCTCAAGACAGACAAATGTTACGGCTTTGTTTTGGTGGCATTACAAGACCATTTTTTGCTTTGCTTACCTGTAATGATCTGTCCTGTATCTCCAGCTCTGAAGACTTCACAGTGGAAGTTTTCACAGCCAAAGCTGCTGTCTTCATAGTTCCCTAAGTTTAAAATGTGTTCTCCTTACTCAGTTTTTCACTTGTTATGAATTTTCTAAGATGTGCAAGGTGGGGGGAGAAAGCATTTTGCACTGTCCATTATATAGCTAGAGAGAGAGGGGAAGTCTAAAGTGCAGTAATTCACATAAGTGACTATGGAAAGTGGTGCATTTTTACTCAATGATTTTATTCCCTGGTGTGCTGATTGCTTTTCCGACACCAAAATATGTATCCTATTACTTTTTACTATTGTTAAATAAGGAACTGGGTTCTATTATGCTCTTCTGTACCTGCAGCACAGCCATTAACGCTATTCTGTTTGCCAAATGTGCATCTCTGGTGATGAAACTTGAGCAAGAATGAATACCGACATTTTAATGGCTGCTTCTGATTTCATAAAGCTGTTTTTATAGAAAGGTACATTGATAAATCTATTTTGTGAAGTACCAAAAAATGTAATCCAGGCTTCTGAAATGGAATAGCTATGCCCAGCTCAAGGATTCAGCTAGACTGGTAAAGAAAAAACTATTTATATGCGTTGCATGTGCGATATAACATTGTGCCACCAGATGGTGACATGGAGTCCCGCTTTTCTCTACCGCTTTTCCCTGTTTAAATTTACAATGCATTTAACCTAAATGCTTCTCTGATGTGTGTAGATCCAACCCAAGTTTCATTTCCTGGGTTACTATTTTGTTACTGCTCAGAACCTTGCAAACAGCTGACTTCATCATTTCACAGAGAGCAGGGCTTCTTGTGTTTATTCAAGAGACAAAAGGTAGCTAAAGGCTTACATGCTGTGTCTTCATATTCCACTGATAGAACGATATTCAGGAACCATGCACTATCCAACACTTGTTGTTAATTTCCTTCCGGTTCATGAAGAACATCATGAATTACTGCTCCCGCTGGTAGCTGGTGATGTTCTGAAGGCCAACCTGGAAGCTCACTGCTGAGACGAGATATGATTTGGATCCAGATCCGTTGTTGTTGGCATACATCTTCCCACGAGACAATGGAGTATGCCTCCAGAGGTGAAGTCAAACCATTGTGTTGACATCACTGAAGTGACCTCCATGGAGCGCAAGCCTGAGCAGTATGTATGACTTACAGACATACAGTTTAAAGTTATTACCATATATGGTAATAGGCTGGGAACAGGAGTGTTGAAACCCAGATAAAGAGGTACAATTTCTAGATACCCAAAGGACTGTGTCCTAGAACAGCTGGAGCCAAGCAGAAGTGGTGGTGCCAAAGACTCGGTGTGAGATGCTAAGTTTCAAATGTTATGGAAATTAATGACATCTGAGGGGGCACCACTTAACCATCCCTGATCTAACATGTATTTTGGAGAGCTATGGTCTCATGCTAGCTTGCATGAAGAATTTAAAAATTTATATATCCACAAATGGATATCAGCTGTTTAGTGCAGTTCAGTTTGACTAAACAAACAAGCCCCTTCTCTCTCTCTCTCTCTCTCTCTCTCTCTCTCTCTCTCTCTCTCTCTCTCCCTCCCCCTCTCTCTCTGAGTATCATGTTTAGGCATTGATGAAGTCATAGAATATATATATATATATTATATATATATAAACATTTTACGGCATCTGGGAAATTACTTGCAACAGTTGCCTCCATCCGCTGAAATATTTATATTTAAACAAAGTTAGGAATACATAATACAAAATTGTCTGGGCTTAATATATAATCCTCTGTGCATTTTTAAAAACTGCCTGGGTGAGACTGCCTCCATTTCAAAAGGGCAAGACTGCACAGAGTGATCCTTGCTGACATTCCAGGCACTAGCTGCTACTCATCCCATAGGAATTACTCAATGTGTTGGCTTCTGATACTCCCAGACAGTATCAAAACAAGTGAGGAGAGCATTGGCTAGGACAAACTTAAATGTACTTTACCTTATGTCCTATGTGAGAGAGCTACCTCACTCATCCTGGCCTGTCGTTCTGCTTCCTAGATCAAATTGTGCCCTTCAGATAGAGCCAATTTCATGGCTAAGGCTGGTAATAAGGGGAAGGGGGGGAGAAGGTAAAGCTGGTGTTAGGAGTTTGAGGCTTCAGACCCCACAAGTGGAATTGGCAAAAGCTGAATTCCATGCTGTGCTTCTTTGCACAAGAAGCAGGGAAGATCCTGGATTTTTAGGCGAGTCAGCTTCCAGGCTGTCACCATATTACAGGTAGGGATATCCATTTCAGTTTCACCCTCATCTTTTCATTTTTTCCAATTTTATGTTCAGTTTTTCACATTCACGAAAATACACCTTTGCGTGTAGTTTTGCCTAATATTCACAGTTTTGCAAAGTAATCTTCCTGGATGCATTATAAATGTTAATATATACTAACATATGCATTTTACGGACGTTACCTTAGCATATACACATATTGCTTGGCTGGAGAAGTGCACTGCAAAATCCAGAGGAGTCGAAGCTTCAAAGGATGGCTCTGATTCGGTTCACATATAGTTTCAGAAAGTGTAAATTAGGAACGCCTCTAAATGTGATCTGAATCAACCCCTCAATCCCTAATTGCAGGTGGGGTTCAATCAAATATTTGTAAATTCAGGTTGTGCAAAAAGTGATTTTTGTGTTCTTGTACAACAAACTTGTTTCCACTCCTGCCCCTCCTCCAAACATTTGGCAGTAAATGAGAAAGTGCACTGGAAACGCACTGGGATAACAGTGCAAACAAATCAGAATGAATCCTCAGTTACCAGTAAACATCATATACCTGCCCTGCAAACTTTGTGCAAAGAAGTCTGAAGTACAGTGGTATCTCAGGTTAAGTACTTAATTCGTTCCGGAGGTCCATTCTTAACCTGAAACTGTTCTTAACCCGAAGCACCACTTTAGCTAATGGGGCCTCCCACTGCTGCCGTGCTGCCGGAGCACGATTTCTGTTCTCACCCTGGGTTAGCGGAGTCTGTAACCTGAAGTGTCTGTAATCTGAAGCGTATGTAACCCGAGGTACCACTGTAATGCTCAACAAGCAGGTTATCTGCAGGTAGTCCCAGTCATATGGTTGCCTTTTGCTGTGGACTTGCCTGTAATGAAGTAAGATGTAACTTCTGTGCTTCTTATATCAGCCTGGGGAAGTATAATAAGGTAAATTCAACGCTTGCTTCTTATTACCTTGATTGCATTCCCTTGTGTAAATGCAACTAACTTCTTGGTTAAGTAAGTCTGTGTGTTGTAATTAGGGCAAATCTTAATCCATGTTAATGTTTTTGTCCTTTGGGCCGAGTTACTGAGAAAGTGTACAATTGTTTTTTTGGGTTAGAGAGCAGGAAGACTTGGAGACTGTAGATTTGTCCCCACTTCCTCTTGTCTAGCAATTTGGGTTTTTCCAGATTGATGTTTGCTCTGATTTAAGAGAGGGTTTTCCCTGGGAAAGCAGTGGGGAAAGGGGGAAACTGCCTGAATCCATGGCAGAGAAAGTGCTGGTCAAGTGGAAAACTGCTCTGACCTATGCTTTCCAGACATGGGGTTAGCAGAAGTGTGAATGAGTCCTGTGTCAATGATAAAACTAACAGACAAAAAGAATGCATCATATTATAACCACAAAGACAATTTTATTGAGGAAGGGGGCTTGTTCATTCCATTTTGGAATGATAAAGTCAGAGATGAAAGACCTCCTTATAATTTATTCACATTGGTTTAATACTCTGTCGTTATGTAACCTTCTCTCTCCTCACCTTTCCTCACTCTAGAATATTACTTTTGGTTTTATTTAAGCTATACTATTGGAATGTAAAATGCGAGATAGAAAAAATGTTTTAAAAGAATGATGAGAATCTTTCTGGGTTACAACTCAGTACTCCAGATAGTTCTCTGGGTGGCACAGATGCTGGTATTATTATTATTATTATTATTATTATTATTATTAATTTATTTTAGAATGTTTTAGGGTGAATTCAGTCCCAGTGCTAAAGCTGGAATAACTAGGCACCCACCTAGTGAGGGTTCTAACATTATATGAACACAGCTTAGAAGGCGAGGCCAGGTCGATTTGAAATGCTCGACTCCATGTGAAGCAAGTCTTACAACCCTGACAGTAATTCCTGGCAATCAAAACCTGAGCCCGAGAAGAATCTAAGGGATATCCAGTGACCCTCAGAGATGTGACATAAATATGCTCCTGTTTACTTCTCTGCTTTCTCTTCCACAGACTCTTCTCTTCTGCTACTTTGTCGCACTTACTGGAAAAGTAAAGCTGATGAGACTGACAGATTTATTTCTCTTTCATTTAACGGAGTTGAGACAGGGTGACGTCTGCCCCAAAGCAGCTCCTATACTTTCAGAAAGAGAATCACTTGAAGATCCCAAGCATGTCCTTTTTCTTCTGGTAATTTGTTTTTTTTAAACCCCCCCCCATGTTAGCAAACTATACATGAAGTGGAACATGGCAGAATATCCCCAGTGTAAGATAAATTGTGTTGCAAGGCTTGGGACTAATTATCCTCCGCAACATCAGAGCTAGATGGACCAGAAAATAAAATGGTATCTTGTGGCTACAGAGAAAATTTGGCAGCAGCATTCCTCCATACACGATTAGATGGGTATCATGCTTGCTATTGTGGTCCAGCATTCGCTTGCAGGGTCTCTACGGGCTACATTTATTTTGTGTTTGACAAGAACTCTTTGTCTTCTCTGCCGTGTGTATGCTCTATGTATACATTTGCTGGACTTTTCTCTCTGCGGCATTTAAGCTCCCCCCACCCATCCCCGCTGTTGACACGCAAGTGCTTTTATCTGGGCTTGATTAATTAGGAAGCACGCTAGGCTTTAGCACAGTACCCACAATGGCAGCCTAAAGAACTTTCCCAACCACCAGTCATCAAAGTAAAATGCTAATTACACAAGTGCACAATACAGTAAAGTTCTTTCAGGTGGTGTTTACTAATATAGAAGTGGAAGCTCTCAAGAAATGTGCAAGTAGGTTTTCTATGGAACGCTTAGAGGAGTATATCTATGGAGCAGAGATGCTGATGCAGCTATTAGGGCTTGGCCCCAGCATTCTTTGGGAGGTCTCAAAGAGGCAAGCATTGCAGTTCTTCATTAGCTTGGGTAAGATTTAAGTCAGAAGAATTTCCAGTTTACCTACTTACTGTGGGCACTCACCTGCCTCGGCAGATAATGGAAAAGTTTACCTATAGATTACTAACTTAACAACTCCCAGATGAGAGCTTCTCATGCCCATGGGAACTCACACTGGGATCTTGAGGCTGTCAAGAGCGTCAGGGATCCAAGCGGATTGAAAACCTATCACAGTCCTTGTCTTCAACAGCTGCCCACACAAAAATTTATTCTTCAGCCAGGATAAATTTTCCTTGGCCACAAAGTTGTCATCTGGTGAAGGTGTAAATTTTTCCTGGATATTATATTTTAATATTTGATTGTCATAATTTCGATGGTGGTGAATCACTCTTTAATACAGTGAACTGTGAAAGCAGCATAAACCTGATTTTAATTAACGCGTTACTATGCATTTTTATATATCTGGGAAGCCTGCAAATGAACCCTAATTGCCAACTGTGGATAGAAGCTGGGGTTCACTTTGGATAGGCTCAGAAACAAGGCAATCTCTTTCTCATTTTTTATATATTTTTTTTGAGGGGTCACCTGACATTCTAGTTGAAGGTGTGGAGAAGTCAAAGAGCCAACCTGGATTTCACTCCTCTTCTTTGGGGGGCGGGTCGGCAGGGAAAAGCTATAATCCATATAAGGGACACAATTGTGGCATTTGGGCCTCAGTCTAAATTGAATAGTGAATTGTGACGAAACACACATTTTGAATCTGAGGAATATTTCATGAGTCTTTTGCAATGAAAGCTATTTTACTTTCATTATCTGTACGGCACATTCTGCCACCCCAAGTCTGTTTCACCCAACAATCACATGTAGAATTGGGTGAAGGAAGAGGAATTGGGATCTTTCCCACTGGACCGGCCTCTCCCTGCCTTGCATGGATCCTTAAGGTTGGGTATTAAAATAAGGGAAAATCTTTCTTTCTTTCTTTCTTTCTTTCTTTCTTTCTTTCTTTCTTTCTTTCTTTCTTTCTTTCTCTTTGGAAATGCATTCTTCAAGGCATTACACTCTGCTTAAAACCACCTAATCTTTTATTAATGTACATGGTCCTAAAAAGTAACTTCAGACTTCAGTAAGTAGATTCATATGCAGTGCAGTATTTTAACTAACTGCGGAATGCGCTCGCATATCCCTGAGCAAAAGGGACATGCTTGGGGGAGTGTGAAACGGGCCCTGTGGAGCTCAAACCGTAATCCTCTCTCCACTCTCCCTTCGGTCTCTCCAGGCGATGCAGCTGAGGAAGCTTGAAGAACAGCCTCGCAACATCCGAAGAAGCCTGAACTTTCAAGTCGGCACTGCAAAAATATGCAGGTGGCATTCATAAATTAGAATTTTCTAAACAGGGCCCTTGGAACTTGAGCAGTCATACATTGCAGTCACAAAGCTGTGAATTTTCTGATTTTTGTCACTCTCTGATAAGATTAACCCCGCCGTCCCCCCCCCTTGCACACACCACAGTTAAATTCACTCCTGCTGGTGGAATTGCAGAAGTAATTTCTCTGACAATAGAAATCTAAAACTTTTGAGATTTCCTGCCCATTGGGACGGAATGCAATTTATCAATTCCTATTAACTCCCATCACCAATAAGAGATGCCTTTATTTTCCTCTTAGGGAATATAAAATGCACACCACCTATATTTTATGCGCTAGTGTGAATTTCTCCATTCAAATGGCAAAAGCACCTTGTTTCTGAAACCTCCCCTGAAAGAGAGAAGCATCAATTTTAGAAGCACTTCTTATTTGCTGTGCGGCTCTCACAAGCATAATTATGAAGTGTGTGAAGTCTGCTTACATTTGACTGTGCCAAGTCCCTTTGAGGTATTCCATGGGCGCTTTGGGCTTTTCCGGTCCCTCTCAGTTTTGTATAGACATCTTTTCTCAGCACCAACTTTTCCCAGAGTATGGCTGCAATCCTTGTCTACTTACTTGGGAGAAGGTCCCATCAAATATAGCGGGACTTACTTCTGAGGAAAAATGCACACGATTGTGTTGTATGGCTGTAATGCTCCACTTACTTAGGAACATATCTTTTATATTGATAGACAAGACTGAGCTAGATGGACCAATAGTCTGCTAGCTCAGTCTGGTCTACACTGAATGGCAGTGGCTCTCTAGGGTTCAGGCTGGGGACACTCCTAGCCCTACTTGCACATGCTGGGAATTGAATTTGGGACCTTTTGCATGCAAAGTGGATGCTCTTCCACTGAGCTATGGCCCTAGTGTGATTTCTGTCTAAGAAAACATGTCCAGGCTTGGGCTGCTCATGGAACTACAGCGAAGCTGTTCCCAAGTGAGTGTTTTCATACTACACTTGTATCTTTTCTGTCTGTGGAGCAACAGAATAATAATAATAATAATAATAATAATAATAATAATTTATTATTTGTACCCCGCCATCTGGCTGGGTTTCCCCAGCCACTCTGGGCGGCTTCCATAGAAACCAAAAATACACTAAAATATCACAGATTAAAAACTTCCCTGAACAGGGCAACAGAATGCTTCGTACACCAGACAGGGGCAACCAGCCGTGGCTCCTGATGGGTGTTTATTGTGAGATTGGTGCTGCCCGTGCATGCAAGGTTTTCACAGCAGCCACACAATGCCACACTGGCATCCAAATGCCAGGCCACATTCCCCCTTGTTTAATCTGGATTTACCCTTTTGGCCAACAAACACAAATAAGTTAAAAAACAATGCTGTTGCCAACAGTCTGTTTCCAGTTTGTGAACAGGCTGCTTGTGAATGTTAAGCCCCAGGCAGAGAGGACCTGCTGCTCTGCAGATGAGGGCCAAGTTACATGTTACAAAGGAGATACTTGACTGGATATCCTGTCACATTTTGCTTGTCCGGAAAGCAGGTTCCACCAACTGGGTTCAGGGACGTGACGCAGAGGGGATTTAATCCTTTCTTCCATACCTCAATGCAAATCCTCTTGTCCCCTGCAGCTAATAGCAACTGCAGGTGGTGGTGAGAGTGTTGTCTTGGGAATGGGCATAGGAGGAAATGGGTTCAACCAGTTACACATTGCCAAAAATGTGGAAGTGCAACACACACACATGGATTGTCATAAAATTTGCTTATGCTAATTTATAAATCTATAGGTGCTACTGTATTAATTTTTTTTTAAAAAATAGCATTACAACAGATTTCATCACAGTAGGGAAGACTGTGACCAGGTGACCTGTGTGCCTGCTGAGTCTCCTGTCCAGAGCAACTTCAAGGTCCCTGCTTTCTCTTCTTGGGATTCTTTCTCTCTCAACTACAGTGGTACCTTGAGTTAAGAACTTAATTCTTTCTGGAGGTCTGTTCTTAACCTGAAACTGTTCTTGACCTGAGGTACCACTTTAGCTAATGGGGCCTCCCACTGCCGCTGTGCTGCCACCACGCGATTTCTGTTCTCATCCTGAAGCAAAGTTCTTAACCTGAGGTACTATTTCTGGGTTAGCGGAGTCTGTAACCTGAAGCATCTGTAACCCAAGGTACCACTGTAGACTTTAAACTCTTCAGACATAAGACTGTCCTCTGCCAGCCCTTCAAATTGAGGACTGTGAATTAGAATGCATGACCACTCCATCCTCTTTCCATACCATAGGACCCCTGACCATTAGGTCCAGTCGTGACCAACTCTGGGGTTGCAGTGCTCATCTCGCTTTATTGGCCGAGGGCGCTGGTGTACAGCTTCCGGGTCATGTGGCCAGCATGACTAAGCTGCTTCTGGTGAACCAGAGCAGCGCATGGAAATGCCATTTACCTTCCCACCAGAGCGGTACCTATTTATCTACTTGCACTTTGACGTGCTTTCGAACTGCTAGGTTGGCAGGAGCAGGGACCGAGCAACGGGAGCTCACCCCATCGCGGGGATTTGAACCACCGCCCTTCTGATCAGCAAGTCCTAGGCTCTGTGGTTTAACCCACAGCACCATAGCCTAGTCCAAATCCTGCTCTTAGCAAAAGAGAGACACAGGTCCATTTATGGATCTCCTCTGCAAGGTGCAGTTTGAATCTGAGTGTTCTGAGAAGGAGAGTTTGGTCTTACAGCCTGTTCCTACACAAGTCTGCTCAGAGGTAAGATTGAAACGGGTTTAGTGTGACTTGTCAACTTGTAAATAGATTTAGGATCCTAGCCTGGGTGTGTGCTAAAAGAATGGAGCGGGAATGAATCCCACACACTTTCCTTGCTTACCTTTCTCCCTCTTACTTTGCACATCAGAAGAAAGAAACATCACCAAAACGATAACCAGGGCTTTCAGCTTTTCCTCAACCTGGTGCCCTCCAGATGATGAGCTAAAACTCCCAGCATCACTCCCCACTGCTCTTGTCTGTGGCAGATTCTAAAACATTCTTTTATGGGTCAGAGGCACATAAAGAATTAGGGATGCAGTCCAAAGTTAATGGGAAAAAATGATGAAAACATAGCATTATAAAAGGAATTATAATAGACAACATTGCCTTCTTTGAAAAAAGTTGGGAAATCAGTAGATCGGAAAGACAGGAGTAAAATGCAGGACAATTTTTGCTATTAGTGAGGTATTTGAAAGAATGCCTCTTACTTCAGATATTCATTCTTAATGACCTGGTTACAAACAGTGTCACATGGTTGGAAGAAGGATAAATAGATGGCAACAATTTGTTGTGATCTATTGAGTCCTGGGGAGGCACCCAAGTGGGGTGTCGCAGACACTAGAAGTCTTGGTTTTATTTATCTTTCCTAATGTCTTGGAACGAAGAAAGGAAAACATCCCATTAATTAAAATTGTGCATATTAAATTGGGAGGTGTAGCAGAAAATAGACTAATCACTTAGGCATTTATAGGGTGTCCTGAGCTCATATAATTTACTATGCACCAATTAAATGTTAAATAAATCCTGACTCATAGCAAATTTTATTCACTGGCTTGATATTTAGAGCCACAGTTTATTTCCTCACAGTGCTATATAGCTGCCACGTGAACTGGGCACCCACCCACTTTTCATTTAAATCAAGAACGTTAAGTTCTGAAAAATGTCTGCCTATTAAGAAATATGCAGACAAAGTTGAGAGATTTGGAACTAGGAGTTCAGAGTTCATTTATGAAGAAAGAATGAACAATGCGGCAAAACTACAGCGATGCCACAATTGCTGAACCTCTTAGAAGCAGGGAGAGACCCTTGAAAATAATAATAATAATAATAATAATAATAATAATAATAATAATTTATTTGTACCCCACCCATCTGGCTGGGTTTCCCCAGCCACTCTGGGCAGCTTCCAACAAAGATAAAAAATACATCAAAATAGGAATGACATAATTCTAATGCTGAAATGGGGTCTCCTGGTCATGGTATTCCCTGAAGCTTTTTTGTGTGGCAAAGGGATTGTGGCTTCACTGCCATGCAAAAGACCCTCAGACACCCAAAGTGGGGTTGTCATGGGGTTGGGACAACAGAGCAATCTAATTACATCTAGCCCAGTTACTTCACTTTGGGGAGTGAAAAGGTCTAACCTGCACTTGTTTGATCCAGCTGCCTGCCCACAGTGGCGGCCCCTGGATCTATCTGTCCAGGAAGACCAAGCAATGATAAATGGGCTACTGGGAAGAAGGACGAAGAATCCCCCCCACCTTGATGATACAGTATATTTTGTAGGAGGCCATCAGATAGCTATGAAATGGCCATTGCTCAAGTAATATAGATGAATTCACAATTTAATCTAGAGACCTCATAAAATGCCCTTTTCTGGGAAAAAAACCCCAAAACAACAACCACCCAATTCCATGATTGTCTTGCTTATTCTTCACCAGACATCCCTACTGATGTTGGCTGGATATAGTCTCCTTACAAAAAAATGTCCATTGGGGTGATAAAGTATCATATTGAAAGCACTATAAATCCTCTGCTGTTTCCACAGACAGTTTTGTAAGCAGACCGTTCCAAAAGCTGCCTCACCAGAGCTCTAGTAAATCAGAAGCCATCTGGTGTGTTTGCATTAATTCATCCACATTGCCTATTACTCTTGCGCAAAATGCCAAAGGAAACCTGAGTTTGATGCAATTAGGATCAGCTGCAATCTTCGCTTATTGGGAAATTACCACTCCCACAAACCCACAGGTAACTGAGATGTGCTCCACAGAGAGTCAGGAAGCGCAATTTTGCATTTGGGAACATGGGAAATATTTCAGTTGCTTCACTCTAATGAGTCTGTGTGGTCTTGGCATTTGTATACAGACTGTAAGTTCATGGAAGATAAAACTAACAATGGCTACTACCTGTGATGGCTATTCTGCTTCCATGGTCAGAGACAGGAATGCTTCTGAAGACCAGCTGGTGGAAATTGCAGGAAGGGAGAATGTTCTCGTGCTCAGGTCCCACAGGGATTCCCACATGCTGACCATTGTGAGAAAAGGATGCTGGACTAGATTGGCCTGAACCAGCAGACTCTTCTTATGTTCTTATGTTTCCTTGTGAACACTTCCAATCTGATGTAGATTTCTATCCCTTCCTATTCTCAAATCTCAGGCTGGCTATTTTTTTCTTAGGCTCCATTTTAATGACAGGGAAAATGTGCCTGACAAACTGGGATTTGCAAAAGCTTGTTCAAGGAGCTCACAGATTGTGACCCAGGCTTCACAAAAGTGTCTCAAATATGGAGGCACGTTTTATGGACGGGGGCAGGAGGGGCTCAACTCCAGTGACTCCAAGGGGAAGCCTACCTCAATCATACACAGTTGTACCTTGGTTTTCGAACGCCTTGTGACTTGAACGTTTTGGCTCCCGAACTCTGCAAACTCGGAAGTGTTTGAGAACTTTTTTGGAAAGCTGAAGGTCCAATGCAGCATCCGTGGCTTCCGATTGAGTGCAAGAAGTTGTGCCTTGGTTTTTGAACATTTTTGGAAGTTGAATGGACTTCCGGAACGGATTCCGTTCGAGAACCAAGGTACTACTGTATGCTTGAGTCAAGGAAAAAGCAGATTAGGGGCCTTTGTCTCCCCCACCTCTCTCTCTCTCTCTCTCTCTCTCTCTCTCTCTCACTCTCACTCTCACTCTCACACACACAGAAATCTAAGAGCTCTGTGAGTGATCCCATGCCCATGAGGACAGTTTGTATGCATCATACAGTTGCATGAGCAGATCAATCAATCAGTTTATTATGGTCATAGACCAGCAGTTTTAAAATGGTTAAAAATACAATAATTATAACAACAAGATACAATAGTTATAAGAACAAGCCAGAATAAAAGAAAGGAGACAAGAGTCACTAACCAGTTAGAATTTTGGCTGAGCAGATCTTTCCCCATATGTTTGGAAGGGTGCCACTGAAATAACATAGACTTGTGCAACTGGCCCCATTGTTTAATTCCAGGGCTGGCCCTACAATGAGGCAGAGTAAAACAGCCACCTCAGGTGGCAGATGCTGAGGTGTGGGGAGGGGACAGCTGTGCCCTGTATCTAGCCTGCCGCCGTCACATGCAGTGGAAGATACTGTGCTTGCAGCAATACTGGAGTAAGATTCAACAACCAGTCAGATTGGTTTCTCCTATGTGCCTTGAGGGAAGTTTCATCTTGTCCTTTACCTCAGGCAGCAAAATGTACTGAGCTGCTCATTTAATTCACACATGGACTCATGCCAAAGGAAAATAATTTCCACATCACAGGGTGTTTATCTATCTCTATCTCTATCTCTATCTCTATCTCTATCTCTATCTCTATCTCTATCTCTATCTCTATCCATCTATGAATGGGCCAACATTGTTACCGTAAGTGATACCACAGCACATTTTTTTGGTACAGTTAATGAAAATGACCGCTCCCCGCATAAAATGGGGGGCGCCCTTTGCGTGGACACGCGCAGCCCCTGGATCTGGAGCGGCTCCATCAACATAGGCTTGGCTTCGCCTTCCCTCAGGTGGGATACCTGGAGGTCTCTGCCTACCTCAGCCAGTTGTCCAATCCCACCTGGGGGAAGCGTTGCCAAGGAAACCAGGCCAGGTAGGGGAGGGACTACCTGCCCACCCACCCACCCTCAGTTAATGTCTTATTTTGCAGGTTAACTTTTCTTCACAGGTATGCGGGCGCTGCTACGTCAAGGTCGCTGTTAAAGGGCCGGAAAGGAATTGCCCTGCATTGGCAGGTTTTGCCTTTCCCGTAGCAAAACGTCACAACTTTGGCAGTATCAGGCCTTGGGCGGAATCCTTTAGTCCATCTTCCTCTTTGCAGCGGTGATACCAGGGTTCCCCGTTAAAGGGGTTTCTGAAGGGAGGCTTTGACTGTACGCCGAGAGGTCGTCATTGCTCTCCCCTGCGGCAGCAGCGTAAAAGGGGGCGGCTATCTCTGCTTGAACATATGTTCTCCAGAGCCGGCCCATCCCCCCACCCTGATGTTCCCTAGGTCCCCGGCTGGGGACTGGGGAGGGATAATGCCCAACGCCTGAGCCAAGGTCTACCCACATCTGAAATTTAATAAAGTTGTGGCCAATTTAATCCCATAGCACGTTGTCTTGAGTCTTTATTCCATATGACGGGGGGGCGCCCGGGATCTGGGGGACTCCGCCTGTCCACGCAATACCACTTTCTTCTTTTTCTTGGTTTGCTGTCTTTTGTTTTGGCAAGCGGAGCCAGGAAAGTGCCCGCAATGACAACACAGATGTATGCTTTTGAAATGAAATGCTCCTGCCTTCCTCCCCTCCTCCATTGAGGGTTCTGCTGCACCTTTGTCTCCCTGCTGCTGCACAAACCACATTGCCTAACTCCCTTCATGGTAACTGGAGTGAAACCTCTCATGTAAAGATTAGGTAGGTTACGATGATTAAACGCTGCTTAAAGATAAGATCTATTGCTTCTTTCTTGGGCAAGCCTCCCACCGACATAGGACTCTGAGAGAAAAGATGTAGCTAATTGTAAGACAATTCCTTTGAAGTTCTGCGAGTGCCAGTAACTTCGGTAAAAGATTTATAACAGGCTATTGGGAAGGGGATGGGCAACCTTTCTAAAGTCCAAGCTACTGAACTGGCAGGTTGTTCATTTTGACCTGACAGTCCGGTCAGGTGAGGCTGTCAGTTCTTTGAAGTATCTGTGTCTGTAAATAAGACACGAGTCCAAAGCAAGGGAGTTCTGAGTAGCTCTTTTGCAGCTGCTCTGCTGAAACTCACAGTGTGGGAAAGATTTACAAAGAGCAGAAATTTGCCTGAAGTTAGCTTCAGGCACAATGGAACGGTAGCTGTACCTGTTTCTGCCAGCAAAACAGTGGCACCATACAAACAGATTATTGAACATGCTCAAGGTAGGGCCAGCTGTTTCAGAGTTAAAATTAGGAAATGTTAAGCAAAATGCTGTTGCATAAGAACTGGGTTCAGAACAAAACAGATTGGGCATCTGTAGCTGCCCATTCAACCATAGATGCGGTGGACACATCCGTTAATTGCAGCTTCTTTCAGTTTCTCTTTTTTCCCCACTCATAAACTCAGTTTGCAACATTTCTCCAGAATTTTGCAATTTTTTAAAAAGCCCTCACAAGTTTTTGCAAGCATTTTTAGCGTTTTGCATGCAATTTTACCCAATATGCACACTTTTGCAAGCAGTTTCCCACACCACAATGCAATTCATATGTAATTTTTACATACATGCACATTTTCTTCTAAGTATTTTTATACACATTATCTGGTTGAAGAATTGCACTACAAAAATTAAGAGAAGTGCATATTTTGCAGGATAACTATGCTTTGGTTTGTCTATTGTTCTGGGAAGTGCAAACTAGGTAGCTTTGTGCAAACCAAACAGAATTTCTCCCTTATCACTAACCATAAGCATTGTGCAGCCTTATCAATGTGTTAGGTTTCCCTTTCCCAGGATGCTTCTATAGCAGCAATCCCAGGGCTGGTACTGGGTGGGGGCCACTGAGGTGGAACCTGACTAGTGACATCAGAGTCAACTAATTCTAGTTTTGTCCTCATCTTCCTCCCTGCTCAGTTCTGCAAGTGCAGTGCTGAAGAGGAGGAAGTTGGCACTCAGTGCCACAGTCTAGATTGGCTGTAAGGGCTTTAGAAAAGAAAGAGGAAATAAACCTTCTGATATCAAAATGCCATTATAAAAATCTATGGTTTGCAACCACATTTGGATTACTATGTACAGTTCTGGTCATCTCATCTGAAAAAGAATATTGTAGAGTTTGAAAAGGCTCAGAGGAGAACAACCAAGTCTCCTTTCTAAATCATGGATATGGACCACAGCCAGTGCTATTTTTCTAGAAAAAGAGGTGCCGGAACTCACCACAAATGCCTCCCTTGTTCTCTTATACAGTGGAACCTTGGTTCTCAAACAACTTGATTCTCAAACGCCGAAAACCCAGAAGAAAGTGTTCTGGTTTTGGAGCAATGGATTAAGTTTGGCGCTTTTGTTTTTGCTATTTATTTTGCATTTTTGTTTTTGAGGCTTTTTCAGTTCATTTGTTTTTGTGACTGTGCGGAGCCCAGTTCAGCTAGTGATTGATTGATTGATTGATTGATTGTGTGACTGTGGAAATGGATAAAAGCCCCTCATCCAAACAATGACTATCATCAGTGCATGTGAGGAAAAAAATTAATTTAAATTATTTCATCTACAATACTGTCTTATTTATTTTATAGTACAGTACATTGATTATTGCTTTCATTTTGTGGCTCAATGTTCTCGTTAGATAGTAAAATTCATGTTAAATTGCTGTTTTAGGGGTTGTTTTTAAAAGTCTGGAAGAGATTAATCCATTTTGCATTACTTTCTATGGGAAAGTGTGCCTTAGTTTTGAAACACTTTGGTTTTAGAATGGACTTCCAGAACGGATTAAATCTGAGAACCAAGGTACCACTGTAATGGCAATGCCACCCAGTGAGTTCCGACTGATAAAACACCCTGACCACAGCAGAGATGGTAGGGGAAGGCAGGTCTCTGGACCTCACAGGTGCTCATTAGAGCAGTTGCCCCTTGTTCTGGTACTGAGATACAATGGTGTGGAGACCTTTTGTATGTCTCATGCAATGTGAGTTTCCCACCTGACAAGAGAAGAAGAGAAGCTGGTTAGCTTGCTTGATCAGCATTTAAAGCAGGTTGTTTGGAAGACAGGGCTGCATTCAGATTGTAATAAATAGTGTTGTGGCATGTTAGAAAAAGCAAAAGCACACAGGAAAGTGACTGCTCCTAAGCTCTGTCATTCTATGCCTTCAAAAGTTGAAAGAAAAGAAAACCAGAAGCCCCAATGTAATTTGTGCGTCCCACAAAAACTTTTTCTTCAGGCTAGCACAATGACAAATTCACACCATTAATGTCATATTTAAATTGCTTCAAAATTTATTTGAAAGGTATCTCCTGTTGGACAACCAAAGGTACTACTTAACATCTTGGCCTGTAACATGAATTGTCTCAGGACATAAATATTTTGCCATTCATCTTTTCACTTGCTCCTGGATTATGCCATAAATAGTGATCCCTGGGTTAATAATACATATAAAATCCTCATTTTTTTTGCCCTTTAGTGAGCTTTTCCCTGAGTTGAGAGAGAGCGATCAAGGCCTCCCAAAATAAGGCCAAATTTGAGTCAGAGTTCACCAGGGCCCCTCTACATAGTCTTGCTTCAAAACTAGCAGATTTGCTTCAAAACTAGCAGATTTGATGCAGCTTAACTAATTCCCCCCTTCAATCAAAGATTCTTCCCTGCCAAACATTTGCACTGTTCCAGTACTGTTCTTTCCTTGTTTTTGTTCTCCAGCTGCTGCTTCTCAGTGCCATTTTGCCACCCTACCCTCAGTATCTCTGGCATTTGCCAGTGTTGCCATTTAATGTAATTGGCTGGGCAATGCATGCTCAGAATCCCCCACCACACACACATATTTTCAGGCTTGGAAATACAGTTTTGGGTAGCTCCAATGCTTGCCTCAAATACAATATGAGTGTTAAAACTCCAAAACCTTTGCAGCTTGTGAATCTGAGCCAGAGAAGAACTTTTTTTGCTTTTTCTCTGACTCCCCCCACATCCACCCAGTTCTTACACACCCATCCATTTCTCCAGGTGAGCCTACCCTTTTCCATTAGCATGGAATGGGGGGGGGGGCTGCTGAGGGACATGGGCAAGTAGGTATGTCAGGTGTGTAGCCTGCAGGCACAGTCCTATTTCCCCATAAATGTGATCTGTGCAGATTGGGGGAGGGAAGAGGAAGAATATGCCTTCTCCTTTGATGTCCTGGAACAAGGTAAGTACTTTGGCATCCACATGACTGCTGCTTCCCCTTTCGCAATGCCACATGCTGCAAGAGATGCCTTTCTTTAAAAGTTCTGGAGTGAGTCTAATAACAAACAAGTATAGCAGCTGAAAATTCCAGCTCTCTGGGCACGGTGGATTAGAACCAGGTATAGGAATCGATCCGCTAATAGCAGCAGCTTCAACTCTACATAAATCAAGGGGGAAAGCAGGATTGTGAGACTTTGGGAAGCAAGATCGAAAAAGCATTGCCTCATCGTTGTCAGCACTGATGGCAGCTTTAGAAGACAACTGGCCCCCAAAGTGTCGTGAAGCGGTTGGGCAATATACACATCAATCCAAATTCTTTACAAGGGATTCACAAGAATGGGGGCTGGCTCTCGCCTAGCATCTGTCTGCTTAGATTTTCACAATGCTGTATTTTCTGTGCGCCATTTTCTCTTGTCTACAGGATGGCTTAGAGAAACCTCCGTGGTACTGCTCTTACTTCTACAACTATGTAGGATCTATAAGTGAAGGAGAGAGCAGGACTGCAGCAGCTGGTGGTGTCTACAACCTTTATAAGTTCATAAGCCAATTACACTGAAACATAGGCAGCAGTGCTTCTGAATACCAGTTCCTCGAATCCACAGAAGGGGAGAATAGTCCTGCCAGAGGGCTTTTCGTGGGATATGTATGGCTGATGTGATTGCAGAAATGGTTAGTGGTTGCTGTGGGCTATGTCCTCAGGAGAGGCATCCAGAATTTTAATTATTACTGAGAGAAGCGGTCCAAATATGTTGTTTTTCTTGCAAAACAGAAAAGTTTAGCACCCATGGAGAGACAGTTCTGTTTCTTCAGTTCATGTAGAGTTTCAGGAGAGTAATAGCTTCAAACGCTTGAAACAATATATAAGGGTTAAAGTAAAACGGATGAGTTAAAGTAAAACAGGCCAGCCAGCTCCATTAAGTGAAATGCGTGGGGCGGAGCAGGGGGAGAGATGACCTTTCAAGCAGTCATTGAAATTCAACTGTGCCCATCATTATGCAAACAGTCTAAGAACCGCTCTCAGGCTTGGTCTGAATTGCAAATAGATTTTTAAAAACTGCAGACAGTCCCAAGGTTAGCAAGTTGGGGTATGTGAAACCTGCTTCTGAGATCCTGGACCCAAGAAATGTTCTTCTGCAGCCCTTCCAAAGTTTGGTAAATAACTGGGTGTGGCCTCTCAGTTGTACTACTTAACAGTGTTTGGCTGAAATCTGTAACACTTGTTCGGGCCTTATGTCTAAAGAGGGAATTAGAAAGGAGTAGTCGGAACAAAGGTCCGTATAGTTAAATCTATGGTTTTCCCAGCAGTGATGTATGGAAGTGAGAGCTGGACCATAAAGAAGGCTGATCGCCGAAGAATCGATGCTTTGGAATTACGGTGCTGGAGGAGACTCTTGAGAGTCCCATGGACTTCAAGAAGATCAAACCTATCCATTCTTACAGAAATCAGCCCTGAGTGTTCACTGGAAGGACAGATCCTGAAGCTGAGGCTCCAATACTTTGGCCACCTCATGAGAAGAGAGGACCCCCTGGAAAAGACCCTGATGTTGGGAAAGATGGAGGGCACAAGGAGAAGGGGATGACAGAGGACGAGATGGTTGGATAGTGTTCTCGAAGCTACCAGCATGAGTTTGACCAAACTGCGGGAGGTAGTGGAAGACAGGAGTGCCTGGCGTGTTCTGGTCCATGGGGTCATGAAGAGTCGGACAGGACTAAATGACTAAACAACAACAACTACAAGTCGGAAATGGGGGGCACTCTCCCTTGCTCCCCATGTTTCTGTCTGCTCTACCCCCAACTTTCCTGTTTTGAGAGAGAAGATCTGAATGGGTTTTTTTTAAAGTGCACTTGTCTGAAGGCACTTAGAAGCCTTCCAACAAGTGGGAATTCTGCATCCTCAAGGTTCCTGATTGCAAGGAGACTTCTCTGCATTTCAAAGCCCCCTTTAGACTTCCCACACAACTTGACAATGTCGGGAATGGAGTAGGTTGGGCCGGCACACACAAGGACAGTTGGACGGCAGCATGGGGCTGCACTCTTCACCTGACCTTCTTCTGGCTGCCGCTGCATACGGCCATGGAGAGGGGGAGGGGCAAGGTCATTGTGGTACAAATCCACCAGTGGAGCCATACTGGCATTCCCAACAGTGCTTTTGCATTGTGCCAACCTCACCTGCTTTCTCTTATTGGGCACAATACCTGAAGAAGGTTTTCATCTCTTTAGAAACTATGAGGGGATTTGCATTAAGTTATCAGGACCATCAAACACTTGAGATGAAGGCAGCTTCAGTTAATTTGGGGAGAAATTTGAATATGGGTTATATAAATATCTATAAGCACCTTGTTCTTTTGTCCCTGAAGTTGAACTCTCATCCCCCAGTAATATTCCTTTTTGTTACTTAGGGTAACTCATCCCTATGTTTCCCTTTCCCTTTCTGAGCTTTTCCTTTAAGGCCACAGTGAACATGGCAAATTAAGCGAATGCCTGTCTGGGGGAAGTCAAAGATTTAACCTATTAATTATTACTTCAACACTATAATTTCAGACTGAATGCAAGAATCTCATTTAGAAAGGCGGTCAGCATAGGTAAGGTTTAAAGACCTCATTTGATGGGGACCATGTTACATCCTTTCTGCCAATAAATACTTCTGTAATTATAAGCTTGTTGCTTCTTTTCAGTTTTAGTTTGCCTAGTTTCAACTTCCAGCTCTAAAATATCGTAATGCTTTTTCTCTATTAGAAATCTCTCCATGGGAGGCACTTACAAACAGTGATAATAGCAACACTTAACCATCTGTTTTAAGGTCATTCTATTTAGTTTGGCAGTCTTGCTGGAAGCCAGGCTTTCCAAGCTATGAATCATTCTGGAAGCCCACTTCTGAACTCTTATACATTTCTTTTCCTATTTTTTAAAAATGCTTTGACACAAGCCCCTGACCTACTATGCCATTAACACACGCTACTGATGATTTTTTTTAAAAACAACAACACTCTGAGCCAGTTTATATAGAGTGTTTACAATAAGTCACTTGCCTTGAGAAGAAGGTTTTACATCCAATCCTGTTCTTCTCAAGTTTCCTAATCAAATGGAAGAATGTAAATCCTCCGTATTCTTAAATATAAAACTGGTTTAATAAATTATTTCTTCAAAAAACAAACATGGCCTGGTTGAAACCTGGAAGTTGGCTTTATGTCCTTAAATTCCCCAAGAAAACTGGTGATGGCACAGCTATGACTTGCATGCCAAGGCTCCATGACCTGTCACTCCTTAGATGATTAAGAACTAGACAAGCTTGGGCTCAAATAGGCCACAACTTCATTGATTACAGATGTGAATAGTTTGCTATAGGCATTGAGTGAAGCCATTTATTTTGCTCCAGCCCGTCTGCTGGGAGTAAACCAAGTGTAAACCCCATGGGGCGGGGGGCTATGACATACATCAAATAGGCGTCCCCCCCCCGAGGGGTCCTCTTTGGTGGAGTGTTATGGCCCTAGCCACCACCTGGGCATCGGATAGAGGCAGCTCCGTGCGAATCCCTTTAATGGTGCACCCTTAATCAAGGAGGGGCAGGCAGAGGCTACAACTTCCCCTCCACCCAAGGCGTAGCCTCACAAAGTTGTGAAGACTGCTATGAGGTAGGCAAAAACCAAATGGCCGGTGCCAATTTGCCAAGTGGAAAAATTCCTGCCCGGCCCCAAATATGGTGGCTAACAAGGTCCTTCTTAGCATGAAAGGAAAAGCATATGATAAAGGGAGGGAGGGTGGGAGATCTGACAAAAAAGCTGAGGATGACTTGGCAGGCTGTTTATTCCCCCGGGAGCAAACCCAAATGCCCATTGGCTGGTTGGTCTCACCCCCTGAGGAACTCCGGCCCCCAGGCCAGTCTGCTATTGGCTGATCTGCAGGCAGGCCTGCAATCCACTGCAGCCAGCTGCTGGGTCGCAGATGTGGCTATGACCAGCCTACAATGCTGACTGACCATTAAATGTAAGTAGACTTCTTCCACCACCCACCCATCAATTTATTCACTCATCCACCACCCCACATCTAGTTCTGTCATCCACCCTTCACGCCACATATTGGCTGTGGAGCTCCTCATCACCTTTATACAGAGAGAGGTAAGGTAAAGGTAAAAGACCCCTGGACAGTTAAGTCCAGTCAAAGGTGACTGGGGTGCAATGCTCATCTCTCTTCAGGCTGAGGGAGCCAGAATTTGTCCACAGACAGCTTTCTATGCAATGGGACACAGTGTTGAGTGCCAAAGCACATGGAAATGCCATTTACCTTCCTGCTGCAGTAGATAGATAGATGATAGATAGATGATAGATAGATGATAGATAGATGATAGATAGATAGATAGATGATAGATAGATTTTTTTTAATAACAATTTTTCTTAACGTATCATTTCCAAATTTACATTGATTGACTTCCCCCCACCCCTCCTGGTTTCCATTTTCCCCCTTTTATTTTCCTTGCATCCAATTATTTTTCATCACTTAATTTCAAATTCTTTTTCACATCCTAATTTTGCCTTCAGTTCATAAATGTTGCAACAATCCTGCTAATGTTTCCATGTTTTTTACAGTGCTCTTTAAAATAATTATAATTTTTTCCCATTCTTGATTAAATTTTCCTTCATGGTGTCTGATCTTCACAGTTAATTTAGCGTAGTGTATCATCTTAGTCTTCCATTCTTCTTTCGTTGGGACGTTCTCATCTTTCCACTTCTAGGCAAGTAGCATTTTGGCAGCTGTGCTTGCATACATAAATAGTCTCTTTTGCTTCTTGGCATTTCATCTCCTAGTATTCCTAGTAAAAAGGCCTCTGGTTTTTTAACAAACGTATTTTTAAACTTTTTTTTTATTTCATTGTATATCATTTCCCAGCAGCCCTTTACCTTTTTACATGTCCGCCACATATGAAAAAACGTATCTTTATCTTTACATTTCCAACATAGGTTAGATGAATTTTTATACATCTTAGCAAGTTTTACTGGAGTTAAATACCATCTACCGTATTTTTCGCCCCATAGGGCACACCGCCCCATAGGACGCACCTGGTTTTTTTGGGGGGGGGGGGAAATAAAGGGGAAAAATTATTCCCCCCCCCCAGGCACGGGGCTGGCACGGGGGAAGCCCGAGCTTCCCCCGACCCCAGCCCCCAGAACAGCCTACTATCCGCAAGCCTAGGGAGCCGTGCCGGGCTCCCTAGGGTTGCGCAGAGCTGTGGGAAGCTCGGGAGCGCAGGGAGCGCAGGCAGCTTTGCGCAACCCTAGGGAGCCTGGCGCGAAGTCGCACTGGTCTCCCAAGGGTTGCGCAGAGCTTCCTGAAGCCTGGAGAGCAAGAGGGGTCGGTGCGCACCAACCCCTCTCGCTCTCCAGGCTTCAGCGAAAGCCTGCATTCGCCCCATAGGATGCACACACATTTCCCCTTCATTTTTGGAGGGGAAAAAGTGCCTCCTATAGGGCGAAAAATACGGTACATCATTTTCATATAATTTTCTTTTAGTGAACTGCATGCTGTAAATTTTAAATTCTCTTTCCACAGCTTTCCCCATGATTCAAATGGTATGTTATACCCTATATCTTGTGCCCAGTGTTTCATTATAGCCTTAACCTCTTCGTCTTTCGTCTCCCATTCCAACAGTAGTTTGTACATTCTTGATAAGAATTTCTCATTATTTTCCAATAATTCCTTTTTGGACTTTGAGAATTCCTTCCCAAAGCCCATCCCTTTATCACCTCTGAATAGGTCAATCAATTGATGGTATTGTACGAATACCAGAGTGCACAGAAACATCATTTACATTCCCGCCACAATGGTACCTATTTATCTACTTGCACTGGCATGCTTTTGAACTGCTAGCTTGGCAGGAGCTGGGACATAGCAACGGAAGCTCACTCTGTTGTGGGGATTCAAACCGCTGACTTTCTGATCAGCAAGCCCAAGAGGCTCATTGGGTTAGGACCCCCCCCAGCCAGGCCTAAACTGTGAATATTATTCTGGAACAAAAAGTATGAGAAACCTTTTTTACTTAGAAAATGCACTCTCCATTTTATGGCAAAGCATTAATGTCAGTTGTGCAATCTGGATGCAAGTATGCATTGCCTTGCACTTCAATAGGAGGAAAGGTGCATTAATATTCACTTTGGGAATGGTTTAATGTTGAGTGATTGATGCATTGCCAGCTCATAAAATCCGATCAGTATCAGCTCATTAGCAAGAAGTCGAACTGTATGCATTGTTTTGATACACCCACCCACATGCACATGATAAACAACACTCAAGACGGAGCCTGCTTTATTAAAACATAAAATATTAATTCTGAAAATCAGTCTTTGAAACTGAGATATTGACTACATAATTCCATATTCTCCTTATTTGGATGTTGATGTTGAATGAGGAAGACATTTTGCAAATGACTGATAAATGGTAAAATAGTTACAGTGGTACCTCGGGTTACAGACACTTCAGGTTACAGACTCCGCTAACCCAGAAATAGTACCTCGGGTTAAAAACTTTCTTCAGGATGAGAACAGAAATCTCGTGGTGGCAGCGGGAGGCCCCATTAGCTAAAGTGGTACCTCAGGTTAAGAACGGTTTCAGGTTAAACGAATTAAGTTCTTAACCCAAGGTACCACTGTACAGGTATTACTTTCCCCAAAGTCACATATATTCCAGTTGACCCAAAATGGAATGGCGGTCTCATTTTCTAATCCAAAGAAAACATGTTAACAAGATGCATTGGGAGAAATTCAATCTAGGTCTATAACAATTACTCCATCACTGAAAGCTTCTTAGCTTGCAAGACAAAATGATTCCTTCCAGGAATGCCAACTTGAATGAAATATGGGGCAGGGGAAGGTAAGTCCAGCCCTGCATAATTGATCACATGATGTGGCACACACTTATCATTTCAATGGCAATACTTATCAACTTTGGAGGGCCCAAGCCCCCTCAAATATTTTATGTGGGGGAAAGAGACCTTAGCCCCTAGGAGTTGGCTCCTATGATCCCTCCTCTCTTCCTTGTGTTCACTGTTCTGGGGATTTCCCTTACCCTCCCTGAGCCATTTTTTTTGGGGGGGGGAGGGCTGTGTGGGGTGAAGCTTGGTAACCCCATTGCACTAGTGGAAGTCCTTGTTAATTGAATCCCACAAACTTGAATCCCTATGGGAATCTACCTGCAGCAGGAGTGCTCAAGGGGGATTATCTAACTACAGTGGACCTCATGTAACTCTGAACAACTTCATTCCAAACCCCTGTTGTCTCTGGGCCATGGTAACTGCATGAACATTCCTAAAGAAATTTGAATATTTCTGAACATTCCTAAAGAAATCTTGGGATCTGAGAGAAACATATAGGGTGTTTCTTCCAGATCCCAAGATAAAGCATATGGAAGAATGAAGGGCCATGTGTGGTCTGCTGCAATTTTCTGGCCAACCAAGGGTTAACCTTATTTACTTAACCATGAACTGTAGCAAACCTTTATGCTTTTTTTAAAAAAATGTATAGTTTGAAGCTCTTTTCTTTCACAACATAGCAGATCATCTGGACTAGTAGTTCACAAAGTGGGCAGTAATCCCCCCCCCCCCCGGGGTGGGGTGGGAATTACCTAGGAGGGCACTAAGAGGCCAGGCGAGATGATGCTGAAAGTGCAAAGACTCTGGAGTTTTGCAACATGAGTCTCCTAGTCTCAGTCGAGGATCTCTCGCTTCCAGCAGAGAGAGTGATTCATATGCACATTGTCAAAGAGAGAAAGCATAGAAGGACAGGCACAAAATGATCCTATTCGAAAGCCCCAAGGCCTGTGGAAGGAGTGCTTTGAAGAACACAATGACAATACAGTGGAGTTTAATATGACAGAACTGCCAGGGCTGGGCAACTTCTTCCATGCCCAAAGTGGATTCTTGGAGGCCTCTTTAGGCTTTAAGCAGTCAGTTAAAAGCAATTCTCTTTCATTTCTGACAGGCTTGGGCATGTAGACCCATTAAAACGAGCTCAGGTAAAACAATTGGCAAAACAGACTGTGACCCAGGCAGTTTCCACCTCTTTTTCTCACATCGTTTAAACTTGTAAAAGCTTGCTTAGTTTTCTTCTTCTTCTTTGGTCAAAAAGCTTCTTAATCCTGAATCTGATAAATGCAGTATTCCCCGCCCCCTTTCAAGATGAATTAAGCCTTCTTAATTCATCTTCCCTGAAGATGAATCGGCAAACGTAAAGAAATTTTGCAGCGTGAAGTTGATTGTGGCTGCAGTCCTATTAGTGTGGCCAAGCACAAAGAAAGCAGCAACCTTTAGTCTTGCAGCAACCTTTCGTTTTTGTGTAGAAGGAGGGCCCTCATTAGGCGTAGCCTGTGCAGCCAGCTAAAACCTCCTGAAATTCCCCCTTCTGCAAAACAATTAAAGGTGCAGGAATCTTGCTTCTTTTGCCTTTGGCCAGCCTAGGACATTTACCCGGGAGACCCATTGAACTTAGTGGGATTTACTTCAAAATAAACATTCCTAGCATTGCACTGTTAGTGGTGGACAGAGTAGTTCAAATCCCAATTTGCTATGCTGGAGGGGGATGGAGCGGAGGGTTCCTTCTGCCCAGACTTGCCCAGATCAGCCAACCTCTGCTGTGGAGCAACTCCATCATTAGTGGCTCAGCCTTGTCAAAGAGGAGCACCCAACGCTCTTTCTCAAACATTGAACAGTTAGAGCCTACCTACAGTCAGCAATATTTCCACCAGTGGTAGGTACTAGAAACCGCCCAAAATAGGGCATTTCAGAGGCAGGGAGAGGACAGTGCTGGTCCAGCATATGATTCACCCTAGAATCCGGTGCAGCAAAGAAACATTTTTCCTGTCCTTCTCTCCAACTTCCACCCTGGCAGCTATGAGTGATGGGGATGTAGATTCAGCGCCGGATTCAGGGTGCTGTGGGCAGTTCTGCTACAAAGGGCACCGAGCCAAGGGGGCACAAAACTGAGAAGATTCATAATTGAGAAGATCCATTTGGAGGCACCAAATTTTGGCCTTGCACAGGGCGCCATGTTACAAAAGATAACCTGGTGGAGGCAGCCAAGGCTACACTGCCCTGCTGCTGCAAATCAGGAGTTTCGATTGCCCCTCTTGGACTGCAGTCCTACACATGTTTACTGTGAGTCAACCCCGTTGAACTCAGTGGGTCTTACTTTTGAGCAGACTTGCGTAGGCCCACACTTTAACTGTTAGGTATTTTAGCTATAAACTAACTCAGATCATAGAATAATAGAACTGTAGAGTTGGAAGGGACCCTGAGGATCATCTGGTCCAACTCCCTGCAATGCAGGAATATGCAGCTGTCCCATATGGGGATTGAACCTGCAACCTTGGTGTTATCAGCACCATGCTCTCACCAACTGTGCTATCTCACCCAGGTCTGATGAGTTCACTGTTTGTGATAAGCTTCTTCTTTCGCTGTATTGAGAGTAAAACCAGATCCAATACTACGAAGTAGTTAAGATGTAAGTGATGAAGCCATGGTGGTCTTTGACATCTTTGTATTCTTGACTGATTTGGTGGAACACAAACAGTAAAGTTAAAACGGGCCTTTGTTTGATCCTGGAAGCAACAGTGAAACAGAATGGAGGAGGTGGCCTTTACAGAAGGCTGCCTGGGAAAAGTATATCTGCTCAGTTTTATCTGTGATCAACAGTTCCATTTTGTTTTCATCCCATTTTCATCTAATCTCGAGAAATTTGATTGAATGTTGCCGCGTTTGTATTGTCTCTGTGCAAACCACTTAGGGACTTTTATTCTATTAAGCGGTATCATTTTTAATTGATAAATAAATGCAATATAAAATCTCGGAAGCACTTGGAGAGGAGGCAGCTGCTCATATCCAGCCTCAAGGCTCCTTTGCTCATCCTCCTCTTCTACCTATTCAGGCAAGCAAGACACTGAGCAAAGCAGGGCTTTCCGAAGGGGAGGATGAGGGCTCTAAATGGCTGCATTGTTCAAGTAAATGATTTAGGTTGGACAATGAGGAAAAAATGAAGGGTTTCTGTACCTTTAATTGTTTTTCAGAAGATGAATTCATGCTCAGGGTTGGTCCCACTGTTGGGCAGAGTGAGGCCTCAAGCAATGGATGCTGCAGATTGGAAGGCTTTTGGGAGCCTCTAAAGTAGCTTGAAGTCCTCAGTTACAGTGAAGGATGCTGTTCCGTCATCTGTAAGGTTTAGCTGCCAGTCCTTAAGGCTTCTATTCAGTTGAGGGCACCATCTTGTCCTTCATTGAAGGGATCAAGATGTCTTGGACAAGCCCTGAGTGAATTTTAAGAAATCCCCCACCCTTTCTCATGCGTTCACCTATTCATCAAAGACAGCTCCATTTAGTTTGTGTTAGAACAGGCTTGCTTAAGGGTCAGGGAGACAGGCATGGTAATGTATAAATGTCTGTTAAAAACTCACACCTTCAGGCTTTCATTGCCAAAATGATCTTCAACCTCAACTACTCTCTGCTCCTTTTCTCTTGGGTGTATTTGATTTAATGAACTATGTGACGAGTTACTGTAGGCACTGTGGAAACACATTATCGTCAGTACTACCACCATCACCACCAGGCAGGAAAGTAATTACGTGACAGCATATCTCTGTGAAGAGAGGCCCTGCTTTCTTCTGTGTGGAACATGGTGGACCTTGGTGGTACCAGAGGGAGAGGCAATGCTCTCAGGACAAGTAACTCCCTCCTTTCTCCCCACTGCTGAACCCTGTAATTATTTGAAGGAAAGTCACTTTTCCTATATTGAGAGTGGATTCTTTATTATCAATGTAGAAGCAGAAATGTTGAAACAGAATAGAACAGACAAATAAAAGAAGTCTATGTGTGATCTGAAGCAGGAACTCAGGGCCTAAGCATGTGTCAGGGTATTTGTGGCACACAGTACCTCAGAATATATTCTGGGCATTAAATACCTATTCAGTGGCAACTGGGCATGAAGGAAGTACAAATCCCAATAGAGAATTCAAATATTCCCCCCCCCCTTACAGATTGTGTAGTTTGAATGACGAATTTTTCCTGTGTGAGACTGAGGCCACACCATACATTTAAAGCCTGAAAATACCACTTCATGGCTTCCCCCAAAGAATCCTGGGAAATGTAGTTGTTAAGGATGCTGGGAAAGTCCTTGGTATGCGATCTCCCACCCCAGCATAATTTCTGTCTCATGGGACTGAGCTACAGTTAATTGGCTGTCATCCACTACTTCCTCAAGATGCTGGTTCAGCACCTTCACAGCTTCATAGCAGCACAACACTTTTTGTTAATGTCTGCACATCAAGCTGGTGTTAAAGGCGCAGCTACAATAGCCGGTTAAAAAGTTGGCCACCTGCGTTGGCACAATCTAAAACGGAGCTGAGCAGAGAGGCTGCACTGCCTGCGAATGGAGCCAACCCACCTTTGCTGCTTTAGTCAATTAGCTGCGGGTGAAAGAACAGTCAAGGTCCACTGGGTGAGATGCTGGAGGTCACTACCTGAGCAGTGCTATGAACGCTGGGCAGCGAGCCAGCGAAACTTTGAAATGGAGGCAGCTAATTAGCTGCAGGTGACTGCGAGGAAAAGTCATTCAAACCCGGAGTCCCCTACAGCTGGGGACAGATGAGAGCAGATGGCATTCCAGGTCTACTCTTGTCGGCTTCACTTCTGGGCTTACTGCCACTACGTCGGCCTCTCCACTTGCTTCCCACCCCCATTTTATCATGTAATTTACAGCATCTTGCTGTGTTGGTTGTAAACACGATGAAGCAAGTGTAGCTAGTGCGGCAAAGGCAAGCTGAAAAAGTAGCTCAGAGAGCAGCAAGCACCTCGCTCCATCTTATTTAAGGGGCACCTCCCGTGTTAAGTGTTCAGAGTCAGTTGTGCACATAGCTGTTGCTTGGGATGTGGGGAAGTGCTTGCAGATTTCAGCTTCTCCAGCCCCAAATGCTGAAAAATGAAATAAGAAACACCTCACAAAAGAGGTGTCTTTTACATAGGTACAAAAGAGCTACAGTGGTGCCCCGCAAGATGAATGCCTCGCAAGACAGAAAACCCGCTAGACGAAAGGGTTTTCCGTTTTTGAGTTGCTTCGCAGGACGAATTTCCCTATGGGCTTGCTTCGCAAGACGAAAATGTCTTGCGAGTCTTGAGATTTTTTTTCCGCTCCCCCCCCCTTTATCTAAGCCGCTAAGCCTTTAATAGCCTTTTAGCAGCTAATCCGCTAAGCCGATAAGCCTTGAATAGCCGCTAAACCGCTAATAGCGCTAATCCGTTAAGCCGCTAATAGGGTTGCTTCGCAAGACGAAAAAACCGCTAGACGAAGACACTCGCGGAACGGATTAATTTTGTCTTGCGAGGCACCACTGTACTGATTATACACCACTGATTTTGCAAGATACTTTGGTTGCTTCCAGATAACTTGTTTATTGAGCACTTATGCCAATCTCTCTGCACAAAGTTTTTTTTGGGGGGGCGGGTACGTCTGCTGTTAACTGAACATCCATTCTGATTCGTTTGCAGGAGGTTAATACAAAATTGCTTAAAGCAATTGTTATCCAATGCTTTCCAGGAACATTTCCTCATTGTTTTCCTTACCTTACATAGGATATTTTGGAAACAGGTTTTGGTTGCACAAGAACACCATATTCACTTTAATCACACAACTTGAATGTGCCACACCCCGTGCTAATTTTGCTACAACTGCATGATCAGAATGGCAATGAGAACAACTGACACCTGACTTGCTGGTGTCAGACACATGTTTGGTTTGGACATAATGACATTTTAAAAATCTGGAGCCTTCATTCAGGATAGGCTGGGGAAATGATCTGAAAGGCAGTAATAATGTGTTAAAATCTGTCTTGCCTGGCCATTGAGAAGCTTGGATGTGTTTTCTCAGGTGGATAAAATTCTAGAGATATTGGTATCTTTGCCCAGTCACAAATGCACAAGGGGACAATGCAAGCAGATTCAGATCCAGATTCACAGCAGCAGCAGTTCGCACCTCTCAGATCTTTTAAAAAATAATTGGGCATGAAGCCTCAAAACCCACCCCCATGGAATAAAGACACAATGGAAACAGAATTTAGTTTAAAGGTTAATGGGCAAATTTAGGCCACAACTTTATTGAGTACACAGGTGTGACAGGTATTGGCTTAGGCATTGGTATCTAATGACTATAATTGGCTCCTGCCCACTCATCAGGAAGCCTGCAAAGGGAAAACTACCAGCAGAAGGAGCTCCAACAATGGCTATTGACTGGTGCTCACCCCTGGGGTTCCCAAGGGTCCTGGCATGGCCCTAGCCCCTCCCCGGGCTTTGGACGAGATCCAGACCCCCGGATTCCTTTAACGGAATACCCTATCACATGGCGGGTCGGGTGATGGCCGCACCTCCCCTCCCCACATTCCCCTAAACCAATGCCTAACAGCCAAACCTTACAAAGTTGTGATGATTGCTAAGAAGTAGGCAAAAACCAAGTGACCACTGCCAATCTGCCACATTGGAAAGAATTCCTACCCTGCTCCCGTTCCAAAACAGGTGACCAACCAAAGTCCAAAGCAAAGCCAGACACTGATCTAACAATGGGTGGGAGGTGGGTGTTCGGCAGCACGAAGCAAGAGACAGGCACACGTCGCGCTGCCGTATATATATACTTACCTTGTGCCAGCACCACTGATTGGCCAGGGCCCCTGGCGTGATCGCAGCATTACCGACCGGTTGTGGGGAGTCCCGGGGCTGCATGCAACATGGACCCTCGGGTAAGTAAAGGTAAAGGTACCCCTGACCATTAGGTCCAGTCATGGCCGACTCTGGGGTTGCGGCGCTCATCTCGCTTTATTGGCTGAGGGAGCCGGCGAACAGCTTCCAGGTCATGTGGGCAGCATGCCTAAGCCGCTTCTGGCGAACCAGAGCACTGCACGGAAACGCCGTTTACCTTCTCGCTGGAGTGGTACCTATTTATCTACTTGCACTTTGACGTGCTTTCGAACTGCTAGGTTGGCAGGAGCAGGGACTGAGCAACGGGAGTTCACCCCGTCACGGGGATTCGAACCGCCTACCTTCTGATTGGCAAGTCCTAGGCTCTGTGGTTTAACCCACAGCGCCACCCGCGTCCCCTCCCTCGGGTATGAGGATCCAACTAATCAGATCCTAGCTAAATCAACCACTTTCAAAAGGAAAAAGCCTTCTCTTTCAACACCTTAGCATTGTTCCTTCCAGATGGAATTGGTTTCATCCCCCACCTGGCTGTAATTCTAGATCATTCCAGAAGCTTGGAAGCAGGAAGAAACCATTTGTTATGCTTGCCTACTAATAAATTCATAGCAAACTCATTCCCCAATTGCTGACTGTACAAGGTATCAGCAGGCCTGCGGTAACTCCAAGGTTTGCAGGAGAATAAATAAGGGGAACCGCCTTACAAAGGATTAAACATGCACAGAGGCCACAGTACAGTACATTCAGTATATGCTGGAGGTGGTTTGGAAAATTGAGGTGGTGGTAATGGAATGGAGTATGGCAGAAAGGGGCATGGCTGGCAATGGCCATAGAGCAATAGATAGATAGATAAACTTTATTCGCATTAGCCAATGGCCATAGCAACATAAAACAAGCAATATATACAATTAAAAAGACAACAATGGGTAAAAAGGGCAATCGAATAGTATGTTGAAGTTCTCACTTCTTGCTGATTAATTTTCACTGTTCCCCATGAATGACTAGGCATAGCCCACAACAAGCACCTGTATGTGGGGTAAATCTTGATAAGCTGCTATAGGTTCAAATATTGTCTCTCCATAAAAGATGTTGGCTATAGTTTTTCATATATATTGGGTGTGACTCCGGAGAGGATGCACATATATAGTGTGTGTAAAGCAGTGTAAGCACAGCGTTCTTTCTAAAACATACATTGCTTACCGACAGCACAATACTATACTTGCCTACTCAGAAGTAAGGGCCATTAACGTCAATGAGACTTCCTCCAAGGTACGCGTGAGTAGGATTTTCTCTTCACTTTTAGTAATAGTAGAATTTGGATTTTTTAAGCCAACAATACAAAAATATAATATTAAAAACAGTTAAAGCAATTTACAATCAGAAGAATAGGGTGTATCCATATATATACCCCAGGTTTCAAAGGCAAATGCAAAGAAATGTGCCTTCATCATATGATGAAAGATATACAATGAAAGTGCTGGACACACTTGTGGAGAGAAAACTCCACTGCTTAGGAGCTGGCCATGGAGAATGCCCTCTCCATGCTGCCCAAGGGCAGTAGAACAACCGGAAGAGCCCCCTTTGTTGATCTTACCACTGAGAGGGTCTGTAGGGAAGGAGGCAGATATTTAAGGCCTCTGTCCTTTGGGGCTTAATCTCCCTGATGGCATTTTATGCAGCTCACCTTTCATCTCTTGGAAGTGTGTGGCTGAGATGCAGCTAAAAGTAAGCACTAGAATTCTGAATCCAAATGGTTATTAAAGGTCTAAGCCAAGCCACGAAGACTAAACTCTGATGCTTGGAGGGCAGAAAGCATTAAATTTGGGCATCTAAACATAGTGGTATCGATGCATTCTTCTGAGGCCATTTTCTGACATTAATTAAATGGATTCACTAGTGCCGGTTTTATTAGAGAGGAAGATGAGTGAGCTCGTTTGAGCGCAATATGAAGTGACTTGAATCTTTGCCCAGAATGCTAATGGAAGCTTTTTGAAATCAGAAAAGTAGATAATAACATTTTATTTAATTAATACATATTTTTTTCTTTCCTCTTTCCTCCTTGCCCTTCTGTACTTGAAGATGTGGGAGAATATTAAAATCAAGGCTGGCTCGAAACATTTGCAACTTGACTCAGGGTGACTTTAAAAGCATACTTTAGATCCAGTTGCATGCCTGGAGATAGCTTTATGTGGCTGTGATTGCTTCATCGTTTGAAATAGACAACTTCCAGAAATTCCCAGTCTCAGCAAGTTACATTTGGGAACTTTTGATGTAGATAACAGATGATACGCCATTCCAGATGAATGGGTCAGGGAAACTTTTCGAGCCTGGGGGTCATGTTCCCTTGTGGGCAACCCTCCAACAGAGGTTAAGGAGAGAGGAAAGAAGTGGGAAGAGCATGGATGTGACTCTTCCAGAAAGATACATTTTAGCTTGCAAAGTCAGGGGGTTCTATACAGACAGTCAGACATATACAGTCGTACCTCGGAAGTCAAAAAGAATCTGTTCTGGAAGTTCCAAAATGTTTGGAAACCAATGCGCGGCTTCCGATTGGAAGCCAATTGGAACCCGTGGAACCCACGTTGAACATTCGGGTTCCAAAGAACGTTTGCAAACCGGAACACTCTCTTCCGGGATTGCGGCGCTTGGGAGACGAAATGTTCGAGTCACAAGGCATTCAGCTTCTGAGGTACGACTATAGACTTCTCGATCCAGGCAAGGAAAAGGCCTCACAATCCAAGTACCCATTCCAGCAAGGCAAAAGGACTCAAGGAAGACACAGAGCAGGGCCAATGAGGAGTGTGGCTTGGAGAGAAAAGGAAGCAACATCATAGGAGGAGTCTAAGGTGAAGCTGTGCAGCTTCCTTGTTATTTTTGCCAGTGGATGCTGCATGTTGTTTGGGTAATCTTGTTACTTGCATAGTATTGAAATGTGGTTTGTTGTTGTTGTTTTGCCATACTATTATAAAATGGTCACTATGTTGTTGTTTTACTATGTTATTATGAAATTGTTTTTGCAGTGTTTGTTTGAAACACATGCCTGTCTTTCTCTAGTAAGCTGTTTTGAGAATGATTTTTTTTTTTTTTTGCAAAAAAGTGGCATACAAATATAATGTAAAGAAAAAAGAAAGCAAAGGAAAAATATGTGGCCTGGAAGAAAGGCATGTCACTTGGGAACAGTTCAGAGAAATGGATAATGAGGAGGGGCTTACAGCAATTTTGATATACAGTGGTACCTCGGGTTACAGACACTTCAGGTTACAGACTCCGCTAACCCAGAAATAGTACCTCGGGTTAAGAACTTTGCTTCAGGATAAGAACAGAAATCGTGCGGTGGCAGCGCAGCAGCAGCAGGAGGCCCCATAAGCTAAAGTGGTGCCTCAGGTTAAGAACAGTTTCAGGATAAGAATGGACCTCCAGAACGAATTAAGTTCTTAACCTGAGGTACCACTGTAGCTGGATTTAAAATGGCCGGCCCACATTGCTGCTCCTCATTTGAATCTACTTTTTAAACAGAAAGGGGTGGTGTGGGTATGGGGCAGGCTTAAGCACATTGTGCCGACGCACGATGACCCAGAACGCATCCCCCATGCAATATATATACTGAAGGGGAGAACAATCAATGAGCTGGAAGGAAAGGACACAAAAAACATGTTTAATAGTAAATCTCCGTGTGTGGCTTGCAGCATTTTTGAGATCAGTTTTGTTTTGTTATCCAACCTAACAATGTTTCTCTGTTTGTTCTTTAGCTGCACTGGTTACTAATTGCACGAGTGTTTTGCAAATACTTTAATGGCTTTAGTAGATTAAATCTTTGGTAATGTCTCTGCCTGCAAATAAAACTCAGTCGTTTGCAGTGCTGGATATTATGCTGTTCATTTCTAACTGCTGCACTGAGAAGTGGGATTACAACAGTTTAGGAAGCTGCAGAAAAGTCAGGCAAATTTTAGAATTTTACTAAAGCAAAATAGTAAGTGAAGAGTATTCTCAGGAGCAAAGAGTTCAAATTCCTGTGTGAAAGGAAACTTTCCTCAGAAAGGAAACTGCAGAACAAGGCCATTATTTTAAATCCCACATTATTAAAATATTTCTTTTAGGAATTGGATTGCTTTGTATAAAAAAAGCCTTCCAATTTCACACACCGTGAGCAGTCCATCTTAGTAAGCCTGAACCTTCTTCCAAGCCCCCTGCCTTTTTCTTTTGCAAGCTCCTCACTTCCTAATTTTTTCCTCCAACTCCTTTTTCAACAGCCCACGTAACACCCCATCGTACAGCTGGGATTTGGCTCCTGTATGTGCTTCTATGAAGGAGGCAGATATGGTATGTGACTAGATGCCATACTGCAATGTCCCACTACTCACTACTGGACAGAGGATCACAACCGCCTTGTACTCAAACAGGAAGAGGATTTCCTGCCACCTGCATGTGGAGCTTTACTTTGGGAGGGTCACATTCCTTCCAACCACTAGGTAATGCTACCGAGTGTAGCTTCTATTGACTTTTAAAAAAAAAATCTTAGTACTGTACACCAACTAAAATTATCTCCAGCTTGCTCTTATGAAAACCACCACCATGTTTCCTTTTTACTTCTGTTCTTTACCTAACAAAAAACCTTTGTGTTTTCTTAAGGCTAGAAATAGATCTGAGTAACATCTGGATTATATATTTTCAAAAATGTTGTGTGCCTAAACCAGTTACTTTGTGCGTCTTTCTCCTGCTGATCCCAAGTGCAGCCTGAAGCCTGCACAGCACCCAGTGTAGCCTAATACAATAGTCTGCTACCTCCTCTTATACAGTTGTACCTTGGTTCTCGAACGGACTCCATTCCAGAAGTCCGCTTGACTTCCAAAAACATTCAAAAACCAAGGTGCTGCTTCCGATTGGCTGCAGGAGCTTCCTGCACTCAATTGGAAGCCGTGGAAGTCGGATGTTTGGCTTCCAAAAAACGTTTGCAAACCGAAACACTCACTTCCGGGTTTGCGGCATTCGGGAGCCAAAACGTTCGAGTCACAAGGTACAACTGTATACCATTTTAAGACTGTGTCTGTGAACACACCATACATTTAAAGCACCTTGTAGCTCTGTGATGGGTAAACTACAGTTCTCATGATACTTTTTTTGGGGGGGAGGGAATATGCAGTCTGTGACTATAGGCAGACTTTTGACCTCTTTGCGCATTAATCATGTGAAGGGGCATCGTGTGACTACAGGGAGTGGGGCTGTGCTGCTGCCCCCACCCCAGACATCCATGCATTGACAGGTTAATATTGCGATACATATTTCTATATCTCATTTCATTACGGTACTTTGCAGCCTTAACAAAGCCTATGAAAAATAAAGTGCGAGATTGGCTCCATTATTATCAAATAATGGAGGCATATGATTTGGACAAAAAAGTTGGTTTCCAGGTGGAAAAATCAAAATTGGAAACAGAATTGTTAGACTCCAAAATCAAGAATTTGTCTAAAATGTATAACTTGCTGTTGAAATGGAACACTCAGGATGAAACGGTGAAATCAGCTATGATTAAATGGGCACAAGATGTCGGACATAATATAATGATGGCTGACTGGGAACAGTTATGGACCACAGGTATGAAGTTTACGGCATGTAATGCCTTAAGAGAGAATATTATGAAAATGATATACAGGTGGTACATGACACCAGTCAAGCTTGCAAAAATATATCACTTGCCCAATAATAAATGTCGGAAATGTAAAGAGACTGAAGGTACATTTTTTCACCTTTGGTGGACGTGCCCAAGGATTAAGACATTCTGGGAGATGATTTATAATGAAATGAAAAAGGTATTTAAATATACCTTCCTGAAGAAACCAGAGGCCTTTCTCCTGGGCATGGTCGGCCAATTGGTGCCAAAAAAGGATAGAATTTTCTTTATGTATGCCACAACAGCAGCAAGAATACTCATTGCGAACTATTGGAAGACACAAGATCTACCCACCCGGGAAGAATGGCAGATGAAGGTGATGGACTACATGGAACTGGCGGAAATGACTGGCAGAATCCGAGACCAGGGAGAAGAGTTGGTGGAAGAAGATTGGAAGAAATTTAAAGTTTATTTACAGAAACATTGTAAAATTAAGGAATGTTAGAAGGATGTTGGAATGAAGTAATGTGGTTTTAGCAGAAATGCTATAAAGGATTAAGAAAAAACAGACTGTTAAATGGTGAAAGGAGGGAAAGTAAAGTTACATTATATTAAGATAAAATAGAGGACAAAAACTGGAAAAGATGGAAAGGACTTGCTGAAATACCTAATTGAACAAGAATACAAAAAAGGGAGGTGTGAGGAGGTCAAGGAAACAAGCAAATGAAAGATAAGTTATGGGAAGATTCATTGTATTTTCTTTTTCTTTTCTTTTTTTCTTTTTTCTTTTTTTTCTTTATTGTGATGTGATGTTCTGTTTTTGCTTAATATGCTGTTTTCTATTTTTTCTTTTTGTAACCTTTCAAATCTTAATAAATATTATTTTTTTAAAAAAACAAAGCCTATTCTCACAGCAGCTCTGGGAGGAAGGATAAAACAAAGACAATCAAGAGCATGCCTAAGGGGGGGGGGATTTGAACCCAGGATTTGAACCCACATCAGCACTCAATACACTAATCAAATAACCCCCCCAGGCTTTACTTGGACATATTATTTTATTTATGACACAGGTTTTTTAAAAAGTTTGGACACTAAATGAAATGCCACTTTGAAGGATTCTATGGCTTTCTTTTTTTTTAAAAAAGTTCACTTTGATACTTACTTTTAAAGAAAAAATTACTTAACATTATTCACATTGTTTAAAGCTGTGACTGTTCATTCCGTAGAACAATACATCCCCATTGTGTGAGATACAGTTGCTCTAGATAATAATACATCTGATCATTATTTCAGCCTATAAAATAATATTTATTATAAAGCGTCACTTCTACCCACCTGTCCTTTTCTTAAATGCCAGCATGACATGGGGAGGAATGAGTCAGCATTGTCTTGGTTAATGCTGTCTCGAGATTTTCTTTCTTTCTTTTACAAGAGCTTATGAGCTTCCAAAGGCTTTAATTAAATATGGCACGGCAGCAGATGTAAAAGGGAAAACACACACGCCCTTCCCCACCATGAAGTCCCCGAGAGAGCTTAATAGGACTTCGGGGGGACTAATATTCTAAAACTAGACAAGTTTCTGATGTTAAACCCTTCATACAAATGAACAATTTTGGTCTTGAAGTTGGCTTTCATTTTGCCTTATATTCATTCTCTGGTGTTAAGCTGAGAGGGTTAGACGTTTTTGCCTGCTATCATGATTTTTTCACGAGTCTAACATGAAACCAAAGTAATGAGAATGTTCCATTGGTGCAAGGATTTCCACTTGCACAATGGAACATTCTCCCCCTGGGCTCCACCTAAATCCCTTTGTGGAGTTCCCCCAAGCCTCTGGAGCAGATTTGGTGCGAGTGTGGGGTGCATATGGGGAAAGGGGAGTCCTGCTGGGCAAGTAAAAATCTCTGCACTGATGGGACACATTACTAGAATACCATCCATTATCATTTTTCCTCAATGGTTTTTTTTTAAAAATAAAAAATATGGATGATGATTTGGCACACACACAAACCTCACATGTGCCAATGCAGTTCAGATTTCTAGTACACCCTGATATGATCATGGTTAAAAGAAATGTCCAGGAATGTCCAGGAATAGGTCTCCAATATGTACTGTGAAGGATTCTTCTGGTCAGACTTAGAAGATTTGGGTGCAAACACCAAATAGATATCACCCACCTTCAAAAAGTATATGTATTACCAGCCTTTTCTACTCCCCCCAAAATGGAATTTCTTTTTGCAGCTGTGGAATCTTTTTTTTTTTTTAAAAAAAAGATTAATAAAGTGCAATCACTGTATATGGCACTTTACATAGCAACAAAAGCCAAAATAGTGTGTTCTTGCCAGAAAGACTTTACATTCAAGATTTCAAGAGAGGGAGAACAAATAACACATAGAGCAGAATTATACCAAGATTTAATATTTATTTCATATGCCACTTTTCTATTGAAATAATATTCATAGCAACATACAAGAACAGAGAGGTGGGGAAGGTGAGGGCAAGAAAACAGTCAACAAAGAGGTGGAATGGGAGATGGAAAGTTTTGAACAAAGTGTTTGAGAGATTAAGGGTGGATCTAAACACAGCAAAAAAGGGCTATAAATAAGTCAGAAATTAAATTATTATAACAAAAGAGGGAAAATGCTATGGGAAATCACTTGGGAATTTTATTTTTGCTCTCTGGAGCCACCTGGTGTTGCATGTTTACAAAGCATTCAAAATGCTGTTTCTTGACTAATGTAGCTGAGTCTTAAGTCAAATGTTTCATGGGAAAGCAGTCTTTTGAGGAATAAGCAACAAAGATATGCCAGAGGTGGCCCTCCAGGTATTGCTGGTCTACAAGCCCAGACCATTGTTCATACTGGCTGGGGATTATGGAGATTTGAATCTAACAGCATTGGAAGGCCACAGATTTCCCACAACTGATGTAGGTGTTGTGGGGAGGAGGGTCCAGTTATGGAGGCTCTTTCAAGTGCTTACATCAAGACTAGCACAATATGTCAACCCTCAGCAACCTTCTAATTATCTCCACAGCTTCCTCCTCCAACTTTCCTTCTGTATGGCCTCTCGGGTCATACTGAAGGCCACAAAGATTCTGTGAGCAAGAGGTGAATAGGCCTCTTCCTTTTGGCAGCGAGTCCGGGTGAGAACATCACCACAATATGATAAGTGGCTTTTGTAATTGAAGAAATGGAGAAGCGAGTCATTATAGCTTTGCCTTTCTTTCCTCTAGGCAGGCTGCTAGAAGTTGATGTACTAACAAATTGGTCCAAGAGCTCATAAAACAAAAGGAGGCATTATGATGTCATGGGGCAAGTTCTGAGGAGAGAGAAAAGGGAAACAGCGGTAAACAGAAGCTCGGCCAGTGAATCATAAAACCCCAGAGTAGTTTTAGAGCAGGAACAAATGACTCATGTGGGTTACAAGCCACAATTTTGCATGGAAAAGTTCCAATAATGCTGCCCTCTTTCAGAAATCATCTTCTGTCCTTTTCTTCTCTTCAGCTCTGTGAAACCTTGGCGCCTCTCACCATCCCAGGAGACGAGCGAATCCTCTTTGACGACTGCTCTCCAAGTAACTATAGCTCCTTCAGAAAGGGATTGGATCTATTGGTTCTCACCTGCTGCTTTCTAAAGCAGTCATTAGTAATACACACAGGGGAAATCTGGTTCTACTGCTCAGGCTGAATTCTATCACCCTTCTGCTTGAGAAATAATTTCTTAGTAGGGTAAATCATCTGAAGATATAATCTGTGGATGTATCCTGGCGTTTTAGCAGGTCTAGTCATGACACTGGACAGGTTGGAGGAAATGCCTCAAGAACTAATCCTTTGGACTCTGGATGTTCAGCATCTGCTGGAGAGCAAAGGCAGCCTCACTGATACTGTACCAGCAGCCCTTAATATCCCAGAAGCTTTGGCATTATTATCTGATGCCCAACTTTTTAAAAGTTTAGGGAAGTTTTTAATGTTTGATGTTTTATCGTATTTTTAGTATTTTGTGGGAAGCCACACTGAGTGTCTGGGGAAGCCCAGCCTGTTGGGCGGGGTATGAATGAATGAATAAACAAATATAAAAGAAAAGTTAAAATTCTTTATTTGTGTGTGTGTTTTTTTTTTTTAATTAAAAAAACAATTTAATTTTAAGCCAAATTGGAGGGATTCATATCGTGAATAGGTTAAAATCCTCTTGTATCTCGTCCTAGATCCTTATGGTGAAGGGCAGGTAAGAAGCATAATAAATAAGACTGGATTTTTTCTTATTTAATTACTGGCCACAGAGAAAATCTAAGCAGTAGCACTGAGGTTATGTGATAATCATTAATATATATATTGATTTATACAGTCTTACCTTGGGTTACAGACGCTTCAGGTTGCGTTTTTTTGGGTTACGGACCCGCCGAAACCTGGAAGTACCGGAACGGGTTACTTCCGGGTTTCAGTGGTCGCACATGCGCAGAAGCGCTAAATCGCGCTTTGCACATGTGCAGAAGCACTGAATCGCAACCCGCGCATGTGCAGACGCAGCGCTGTGGGTTGCGAATGCTGTGGGTTGTGAACGAGCCTCCCACACGGATCATGTTCGCAACCTTAGCGTCCACTGCATACCACTCACATGCCAAAAAAGACATGGGTGTTGTAACCATATAGGAGAAATATTTATCATTATTTTGTGATGGAAACCCTTTCCTGTAATAAGCATTTACAGTGAAATGATGCCAAAGCAGAAAGAGCTAACCAAAGTGTTTAATCAATGTTTGTATTTATTCTTGATTTATTAATTAAATATTTATACTGCTTAATATAATAATAATAAACGCTTTAAGCAGTTTACACAGAAAATAATAAAAGTGCAAGCATTAATGTTCAATCAAATTCCTAAACAAGTAAAATACCTGTTTAAGTAAAAACAGAACAAAACTATATATCATAGTGAAAAGTGTAAGACTTTTCACCTTCAAAAAACCTTTTTGCTGCTCTCTGTCAAAATTAACAGCAGGAAAATATAACAGATAACATATTAATCTGGGAATAAACAACAAATCCACCCCCCCCTTTTATTTCTGATTAGTCACATTCCTTTCCTTGTGTTTCCAATATAGTTCCTCTATTATCCACCCCCTTTCCCCAACTTTGGGTGGGAAGACCATGTGATTTATGCCTCCGTCATTCTGTGCCTTGCCATCCAAGCATATGCTTCATGGTATCTGATAAGCTTTGAAAGCCATTGCCATTTCTAACCCTCCAGTGCCTTGATTGCTGATGCTGCAATTACCTATCAGATGACTCTGCAATATCAGTGGCACACAGGGAGAGCATGCAGTAATGTGCCACCACAGGTGAGGGACAAGAGCTGATTTTTCCAGACGTCAGCCTGATCAAAGAAATTCTCTGCCTAGGGCCTCATTTGGGGACAGTTGATAATGCAGAGCTGCTTCCCTATGGATATGTGAGCCTTGCTAAAAAAAGAATTTTACATACAGAATTTTTGCTTCTTTCCTTCCCCACAGAACCACTCAGTTCCAGTCCTATTCTGAGTTTTCTTTTGTCATTCTAGCATGCATAATATAGTGAACTCAGATATGAAGATTGCTACTGTATGGACAATGTGTCCTTGTCAGTAAGGTTGAGGAGAAATGTCTATTGTCAATTAAAACAATTAACATGAGATTGGACTTGCCGCTTGTCCATTGCTCACAGAGTTATTTGAAATGTATACATACCCACAGGGGCGCGGGTGGTGCTGTGGTCTAAATCACAGAGCCTAGGGCTTGCCGATGAGAAGGTTGGCGGTTCGAATCCCCGCAACGGGGTGAGCTCCTGTTGCTCAGTCCCTGCTCTTGCCAACCTAGCAGTTCGAAAGCACATCAAAGTGCAAGTAGATAAATAGGAACCGCTCCAGTGGGAACGTAAACGGCGTTTCTGTGCGCTGCTCTGGTTTTCCAGAAGCGGCTTGGTCATGCTGGCCACATGACCCGGAAGCTATACGCCAGCTCCCTTGGCCACTAAAGCGAGATGAGCGCTGCAACCCCAGAGTCATCCGTGACTGGACCTAATGGTCAGGGGTCCCTTTACCTTTATACATACCCAGACTGTTGCATTACTGATTTAGTTCACTGCCATTCTGAATATGGTTGTTGAGTTGCATTGAGTTGGAAGTTTGTGCAGAAAAGTAAACTTTGCTGAAGGAAAGCTACCATCATTATCAGTCGTCTTTTTTGGCACAGTGATAACTTTTTGGGAAACAGAGAAGGGCCTCTCCTAGACAAAATGACATACAGTATAAAGAGACAGAGTGGCTCGTTTTTTTCTCCCACCAGCCTCCTACATGGTCATACCAGGATCCCAAAGCCACTTGCCCTGCCACAATTTTTCCCAGAAACGCATTTCAGGTGCCAGGTTCTTTTTTTAAAAAAATAATTTTTATTAACAGACCAATCAAATCAAATCAAATCACATAAATTCCGAATTACAGAGCCTAAATTTTAATTTTTGTTGGGGGTACCCATATTTCAAGTTCCGAAAGGGATCCAATCCTCTTGTTGCTGCTGCTTTAAAAGTCCACAAATCTGTCCAAATAATGTTCACCATTCTGTCCAATCCTTTCTTGCTGTTTTCCACATCTCTTCTAGTTGTTTTCACATATTTTTCCTTTCTCTTTGTCTTTGTGGCCTCTGATAGTCTCCATAAGCGGGTTGAAACAAATTTGTATTCCTGTGTGGATTTTTCCGTTCGTCCAAGGGTCATATTTGAGACAGCAAAGAAAAACATTCTTGCTGTCTACTCTTAACTTTTCACAGGTCTGTCCTGCTCCAGAGTTTTTTCCTGCTCCAGAGGGTACGATCCAAACCAATGGCTTAAAAGAAAGGAGATTCTAACTAAACAGCTGGAAGAGCTTTCTGACAGTAAGAGCTGTTTGACAGTGGAGGGTGGTGTGGTGGACTCTCCTTCCTTGGAGGCTTTTAAGCAGAGGTTGGATGGCCATCTGTCATGGATGCTTTAGTTGAGATTCCTGCATTGCAGGGGGTTGGAATACATGAACCTGAAGGTCCCTTTCAACTTAAAAATTCTATGATCCCCATCATTATAAATCATGTGTAGAATTTTAATGATTCAGATTGTGCATGATTTGGGGTAGGTGGCCAGAAGAAGATCACCTGGCTTGGCCAGGAAGTTCTCCACCAGGGAACACTATGAACACCTACCATTTGCCACCTGAAGACACTTTCAACTCCTTTCTGTAATTAGTTTAGTGTCGCAGTGTAGAATCAAAGTGCAGTATGAGTTTGGTATGAATTGCTCTGAAGCTGTGATTCCAGCTTCTCGATACAGGTGTGCAGGAACTCTTGCTTTCACCTGCCTTGCCCTTCCTCAGACAGGTGTCAAATTGTGTTGACTTCTCTCTCTTAAAGAGGCTGTACTCTTCTAGTGGCAGATTCCAACATTGTTAGGAGAAGCTAGCTTAAGAAGAAAAATAAATAGCTTTGGGATTGTTATGAGGGGTGTGTGTGTAATCTCATTTGAAAACACCTAGTGCATGGCCCAAACTTATATCACATTTGATGGCAAAGCCTCAAGGCAAAATAAAAGGAAAAGGGAGGCTTTATGATAGGAGTGCCTGGCGTGCTCTGGTCCATGGGGTCACGAAGAGTCGGACACGACTAAACGACTAAACAACAACAACAAAAATCTATACTGAAATCTGAGCAAATTCTCCCATGGGCACAGAACACTTTTCCACGTAATATTTCATATTTTAAATTGTCATTATTCTTACCAGTCATACTGACTGACTCACAACAGGGCTGTCTTTATGACTGGCATGCATTATGTAGCAAAAGACATGGAAATTGTGGGGGGAAGGGGTCATTTTATTCTGGAGATGCACACTCAGATACTTTGTTTAGGGTCCAGGGTCTATAGATCAAGCTATGTGCAAAAACAAAGTTCCATGGGAACCTAGCCTAGTCCAGGCCTCTCCAACAAATGACAAACCTTTGAAGTGTCCCTCATTATTATGATTATGTGATTTGTCACATTTCATGTATTTGTGCTTTTGGATTTTTAAAGCCAGATGAACAAAGATACAGTACGATGGTGGGCGGAGTGCCAAGTAAATGATAAATTATACAAGTCAGAGGTCGGAGGAGTTGGAGTAGCTATGGACTTGTAAGCATACATTGAAGTAGCAGAAGAGGAGGCTTTGACAGATCGTCAGCTGGAAGAGCAGCTATCAGTGGGTCATGCTAATGCCTCAGCAAAGCTGCGAGAGTTCCTTCTCTGAAGGAACTTTTCAGGAGAATGAATAGGCCTTCCTCTTAGGGAATTCTGGCATTTCTGGATGTTTTGTGTCACTACAAACACGCACCAAACAAGATCCCTTCCAGGTCTTGGAATCAGTGAAACAAAATGGTTTTCCATTATGAAGTGCACATTTCTTGGAACTGTGTAAAGGGTTGATGATCAAATGGGGAATTCTCTTGGCTCACATGAAAACACCAGCCTTTGGCCCACTGCTTCAGATTTATTGTTCTGGGAAGTAGGTCCCTGCAGCGACATTAAAAGCAAAAGTCTGCAAGATAGCCTATTGTCTAAATAAGTAATTATAATGAAACTCATTTTTAATCAAAGGAAGGTCTCATCCAAACTGTAAATGAAACTTGGTGAATTTCAGAAGTTGCTGTTGAGGGCTTAGTATCCAGAAAACATGAATCTGAGCCAAGTGGAACTGGAAAGATGGTGGTTTTGGTAATGGTTATGGTAATAGTAGAAGAAGAAATATTAAGTATTTGTATTAATTTTTGTGTGGGGATTAAAATACATCTCCACAATTGGCAGTGATTCTTTAATTTCAGTGGGGTTCAATGGGACAAGCCAAATCTCAGGACTTGGAATACAGCTTTTGTGACTGTATTGTAGTTCTCAGGACCAGATTCTTGTAGATGATTACAGATTTTCCACATATGTAATTTGAAAATGTTTCCTTGCACTATGCAGATATTTATTTTCTATGGGTGATAGCCAACTAAATTATATGCAGTGTAGACTACTGAAATCTTAAATCCATTAATTTCAAATGGTTTACAAGCTGAACAATTCTTTGAGTGATATTTGACCCCTCCCCCTCCCTGTACTCTGTCTATGCTCTTGATAAGCCACTGCTTTCAGCTTTCTTCTTATCTCTTGTTTTTTATATGCCTGCCAGCCCTGTCAGAACAGCTGGTTTCTTGAGCTGCTGCTGGTGCTCTGACAATGCTGTTCTACCCCGACAGTGGCATCACCAGAAGGTATTTGTGCTGCGTCTGCAATGACAGAGCCTGACACTCAGAGCTTGACTTCTTCCGACTGCTTGAAGGGGGTCGCCAGTGAATGCCTGCCTGGAAGCTCTAGCATTGCTGCTGCCCACGCTTCGAAGAAAGACAGCGCCTCAGAGGCAAATGCCGCCTTCCCTGAGATGATCAGGTTGGATGACCTCGCTCAGCGTGACCTTTGCACGGGACAGACTTTGTCCATGCCGGTTTGTGAGTTTACCCTCAAATCACAGGGACTGTGCTAGTGATTAGGATGTCAGATTCTGAAGGGAACTGCAAGATACAGCAGCCTCTCTGCAGTTCAAATCAGCCCTGATTAGGTATGAAAAATAATCTGTCTCCTTTTAGACTGAGGCATTGTCTGCCTGTAGACATTAGCATTTTATCTACTTAGAAGATGTCAGTGGCAACAGAGTGTTCATTGGAAGTATACTTCTGTATTGTCATAAATGGCCTGTATCCCCCCCCCTTTTTATAGATTGCTGAATGTTTATTTTGTCATTTCCTTTTTCAACTCGATGCCACTGATCCTAGCTCCTGGTTTCAGATTTCTTAATGTGACAGGGAGCTGAGAGAGAAAGAAGCAGATTGCCAGAAATATGGCTCAGTCAGAAGGGAAATTGTTCTATGCAGTGCTGAAGAGGGTGACAGCTACAGAAATGGTGTAGAGGTAGGTGAAAAAGCACTTAGGGTGCAATCCTGAAACTCTAGAAACCAATGGTAAAATAAAAATAAAAATGATTGTAATGGTTTGGAATTGCAACTTGTGGGCTTAAGTAGAGGCCTGAAGGACCATCTAATAGGGTCCCAAGTCATTTAGTGCTTTATAAATTAACATTAAAGAGTCTGGACAGAGTAAAAGAACAACAAATGGCATACCCATCAACATTTCTCTGATGAAAATAGGGACATCCTATTCAACATCAACAACACCTTTATTATTTATACCCCACCCATCTGACTGGGTTGCCCCAGCCACTCTGGGCTACTTCCAACAGATATAAAAATGTAACAAAACATTAAAAAAAACTCACCATGCAAGGATGCCTGCAGGTGTCTTCTAAAGGTTGTCTCCTTGGTTCAGGGGTTGCATAACTCCATACCCCCCAACATTTCTTGGATGAAAAAGAGATGTCCTAAGGAAAAGAGGGACATTCTGGGATCAAATCAGAAACTGGGATGGCTTCTGTAAATCTGGGACTGTCCCTGAAAAATAGGGACACTAGACTCTGGAATTGGTACTCAGGGATACTCTACATCAAGGTAGTGGCCCGAGGGCCACATCCCCTCTGGACAACCTTCAGGGCCACATGATGGGCCAGTAGTGGGCAGGGCCAGTTGCAACATGGGAGGAGCAACTAATGTAAATGTAACCTTTGTAAAGTAGGCTGGTTTGTATACACACTCACACAGCACTCTGTATCTACCATTCAGACAAGCAAGAGTCCAAGGACTCATTTCAGCTAGGCAAAAACACTTGTGTGCATTTACTCTCGCATGTGTGCTGTACTCTTGTCAGGCCACACCCCTCACTTGGAGGTGGAAGTTCCCCCATCCTGTTGACCTAATTCAGCTACAGGGACCCACTTTTATGCAAACAAGTTTCCATGCACAGATCTGCTATAGTGAGAACAGAACAGTTTGGGAGGAAGACTGAATGCAACCCATTTCTGACTTTTTCAGTTCTTGCCCAAAGCTATGTGCACAGCTCCAGTTATGAATAGTTTTCATATGTGTTTATTTGGTTAGGAACGAGACTGTAATACCTCATGTTGTTACTGATAGGACAAAAGGTGTTTAGCCTCAAGTTCCTAACAACTGTTGCAGTGCACCAAGGATGTTATCAGACAATACTGAGTTATACTTTTAACAATGGTTACAGAAACATGATTTTCTCCTTTCTCTGTATTGATATATTGTTTCCTTGCAGAAGATGGCGGGGGCGGGGGGAATTATTTGCTGTTATTATCTGTAGATATGAAGGAGAGAAGAGGCTGAACATAATTTGGAGGGGATTGGATCGTGAAGTGTATAGAATCGTGCTTAAATGGATAGATTTGGAGGGAAGGGATGTGGTTTATACAAGAAGGTTGTACATACTCCTATACATGTCAGATATTTGTACAATGCGTTGAACTATCTTTAGCCCTGGTTTTACTGGTATTATTTGCTGCTGAATTGTTGCTGATATAAAATGGTACTATAAATTATTTGTTGTTTTATTTATTATATTTGTATACCACCCATTGAGATGGGCTTTTCAGAGCCCTGGGGCTTTATATCCAAGCTAGACTCAGATGAATTCTCAGATTCAGATGATACCCCTAGTTACGACCTGAGAAACAGTTGTCTATATTTTTCCCAAGCCAGCAAATGTCTCCTGTGTCTTGTGCCTGGTCCTCTCACAAACAAATCTGTTTATAAGGTCCAACCTTTCACTTTACGCACAATTTCCCTGTCAAATGACTCTTTCTAACCACAGCACAGGTTTTCATTTGTCAATTCCCAATCTCTACCTACTATTTGTTTAGTGTGGACTGTATGTCTCTAGAAATATTTGGTGAAAATCCTACTGTTTGTAAGAAAAACCTAAGCACTGCTTTGCTGGATCAGGCAAAAGTTCTGTCTGGCCCTATGTTTTCTTCCTGACAAGTCCTGGGAAGCTCAGAAGCACACTGTGATGAGCACTGCGTAGCACACTGGAGGTGCTTAATAAATGTAGCATTGCAGTAACAGTTCTAGTAGTCGCTGTGCATCCTCAGAATTGTTTGTGGTGTCTTATTTCCCAGGTCCTGCAAATGCAATGTCCTCTGAAAGTCTTGAAGTCAAGGAAAATAGAATGGAGGGGAGGGGTGCTTCTCATATATCTCAAGTCCAGAAGCTGCTGCCAGACTAAGAGGAAAATGCTTAAGCATAGCATGACTCCAAAAGGAATTCAATATTCCACTCTCCAGAATGAGCGACTGATCAAAGCGACTAGTTCTGAAAAGACAAACTCTCCCATTCCACCTGTGCAAACTTTATTTAAGAATGAAAGATCTTTGGGGAATGTTAATGACAAAACGCCACTTCGTTTAAGGATCGGAGCAGCCTTCTCTCCAGATCTTGCATCCCTCAAATGTATCGATGGATTCTGTCATCTGTTTTTTTAACGGTGGGGCAAAGTGGGTCTTAGTAAATCTTCCATATGTGATGTAAAGCTTCTTAGGAGCTTTTTAAGGATGACTCCTGCACATCTAAAAAAGAAATAGAGAAAACATTATGTTGCACTGGCATTCTAGTCAGACTTTTTCTGGCAGTAAAAGCAGATATGACCAGTTCAGATTTTTAGGACCCCGTTTTTGAATAAAAAGCAGCTTACTCATCTGACAAGATGAAGAAAGCAATATAGGAATGGTTAGTTAAGCTGTTGAGAGAAAGGGGGATATTAGGAGACAAGGCACCACAGTGCCACAAATATGTACTTCTGTTTCCTCTATTGAGTTCTGATGACCACACTGCAGCCATGTCGGCAGTTTTGACATTTGGTGAGGATCCTAAGAGTACTCTCTAGCCTCTTTCAACAGAAATGCAATTTCCAGGTGTCCCTGATAATTGCACATAATCCCAGTTTCAGTATGTGATGTAGGTCAGAAATGGGCGGAAGGTTCACGGGAACCACCAGACAACTTGGGGTGGATCACTAAATGATCACTGTTTGCTGGGAATCTTGCAGCAAATGCTGGATTAGGTGGACCCTGATCTAATCAGACAGGACATTTCTATGACCTTAAGCAAGACTAACAGGTTAAAGTGGGCAAGGCCTTAACTGCATGTAAGCAATTAACAGCCATGGTTAACAAGATTTCAAATAGTTGCCATGGGATGGAGAGCAGGGCCCTAATTGTGGCCTGCTGGAAGGGGGTTAACCATGTCTTCTTGTGCCATGACATCAATGGAAAATACTCTCTAGGGCAGCCTTTCTCAACCTGTGGGGCCCCAGATGTTGTTGAACTACAACTCCCAACACCCATAGCTAGCAAGGCCAGAGCTCAGGGATGATGGGAGTTGTAGTCCAACAACATCTGGGGACCCACAGGCCGAGAACCGCTGCTCTAGGGACTGACAGCAGCTTGGGGGGGGGTGTCACACAATTTTCATGGAATCTATTTTGTACGAAAACTGAGGATGCAGATTGCATATATGGAACCTGTGCATATATGGAACATTTTCAGATTGACTCTGTATATTCATTCTGTTTTAAAGTAATGTTTGCACAGGGCTGTAAGAAAACCCCAATGCTCCTGAGTCTTCAATGCAAGCCTCCTAGCATCATAGTCAAATGATACCACTGAAGTCAGGGCTGACTCCTGAGGATGGCAAAGTTGGCCATTTACTAAGGCCCCCAAGACCAGCAAAGGCACTGCCATCTCAACAGAGGTACCATTGTCACTCTGCTTGCAGCACCCAGGAAGAGCAGAGACAGCATGATAAAATTCTCTGACTACTTTTTCTCTTCCAAATAGGGGGGCTCAGTGAAGCTGCATTTCCTGAGCACCCTCCTTCGCAAATACTGAAGCTGACACTGTCCAGCCAGCCATTTATTTTTCAGCTGGTTCTGCTGTGATTTCACAGCCTTTAAGCTATTTGCTTTCCTGCCGCAAGGCCTCCACGGATGTCACCTGTGCTTGGAGTAGCGCCAGCAGCAACTGGATTTCGCCCTTGGTGCCTATCTTTCATAAAGCCTTTCACATTTGAAAATGCTATCAAACTAAAAATATAAAAGCACAAAATTGCATCAGATCAGGCAGCCACAATTACAGCAAGCACATGAGACAAAACCCATTGTCATTTATCTCTCTGGGGACACCGTGCCTTTTGTTTCAGAGCCCTATTATTGGCATTGTACATGTTCTAAAATTATAATAATTAAAATGGTGATTATAAGTGTCAAGGATTGCAATTCCCCCCTCCCTAATAGCTGGGAACGATCTGTTCGTTATTGAAGGAGGAGGGTGCGAATTGGCTTGAAATCCACATTGGTTTAAAAAAGAGAGAATTGAACAGAGTTCAGAGCAGATATCCAGACCAATGTCGTCGTGTTGCCAACCAGAACCCAGTCACCTTTTTTGTATGAGGGTTTAAGTAAACCTTGGCAGCCCTCTCTTTTTAAGAATAAAGAGCACTTTGAGACAGGAGAGTCTGGAGCAGATCAGTAGCTGAGGAATGAGCACCTTTTGCTTCTCTGTTCCAAATCTCCCCCAGGGCGTTTGCCCCTCACGTGAAATTTATTTATTCATTCTCAAACACTGATACACCACCTTCCATACCAATCCCAAGGTGATTTACAACCCTAAAATACGATCCCTCGGGCAATAGGCAAAATTTAAAGCCAATAAAAGTTTAAAGCCAGTAAAGCCAAAAAGAAGAAGTACATATTGAAATGCAACCATACATTCAGTAACCAGAACACTTCTCAAGGCCAAATCTCAATGCATTTTCAGAAGGCACTCATTGCACGCCTTATTTCCAGGGGGAGACTGTCCACCAAATGAGTGCCACAAAAGAGAAGGATCTCATTCTGGTTGCCACCAGAAGTATCTCTGCAGAGTGTGCTAAAACCAAAGATCCTCAATGCTCAGCCATATAACGAGGTTGGTCTATATGGGTGCAAGTGTTCTCTTGGTGGGGAAGCAGTAGATAGGAAAGGGCTATTTCAGCTTCTCTCCATTTCTCATTTTTCTAGTCTTATGTTTGGTTCTCCACATTTCTGCAACATTTCCTTTTTTTAAAAAAACCCCTCTTGAAAATTCAGTACAGTTTTTTTTAATAACAATAATATTTTCTTTTTCCATATTGAAAGTTACATTTGTTACTCAACAGTTATATTCCAGTTCAACAAAACTAGTGACTTCCTGCTCACCCAACACCAATGTTTATAACCCAAATTACATACAATTGCATTTTAATGTTCTTCCTTATCTAATTTCACCCTCATGAAAATTCAGTGCAATTTTTCCTCATACACATATTTCTGCAAAGCAGTCTTCCATTATATAACACATTATTGTATGTTGTTTTCACTAATATATACATTAACGTGCACATTTTACCTTTGCATATACAGTGGTGCCTCGCAAGACGAAATTAATTCATTCCGCGAGTTTTTTCGTCTAGCGAATTTTTTGTCTTGCGAAGCACGAAATCCCATAGGAATGCATTGAAATTCAATTAATGCGTTCCTATGGTCAAAAAAAGTCCAAACAAAGCCAAATTTGGTACAACAAGAGTTTATTAAGTGCTCTTTAAAGTCACACCCACCACACAGAAATTCAAATCCAGAATTTTTTTTAAAAAACAGCAGAGTGGCCCAATGGTCACAGAAAATCATAAAAATGCAGGAAAAAACCACACAAGCTTCCAGATTCTTGCAAACCCCTCCTCAACTTTTCCCCCAGACACCCATCACACAGAAATTCAAATCCAGAATTTTTTTTAAAAAACAGCAGAGTGGCCCAATGGTCACAGAAAATCATAAAAATTCAGAAAAAACCACACAAGCTTCCAGATTCTTGCAAACCCCTCCTCAACTGTTCCCCCAGCCACCCACCACACAGAAATTCAAATCCAGAATTTTTTTAAAAACAGCAGAGTGGCCCAATGGTCACAAAAATCATAAAAATTCAGAAAAAACCACACAAGCTTCCAGATTCTTGCAAACCCCTCCCCAACACCAAGTCCTTGAATTCCAAACACCCCAACCCAAAATCCAAAAGCCCCCCAAAAAGTTTTAAAAGTTTAACTTACCAAATGGCTGCAAAAGAAGTTTTGGAAAAGCTTCAAAAATCACCAAAGTCTTTAAAAACCTCAGAAAAGGCTACCACACCGTGTTCTATGAGTTGCTCCTCGAAGTCAAGTCGCAACTGTATTAACGGTGTTAAGAAAAAGGAAACAAACTTGCAAGACGTTTTTGTCTTGCGAAGCAAGCCCATAGGGAAATTCGTCTTGCGAAGCAGCTCAAAAAACACAAAACGCTTTCGTCTAGCGAGTTTTTCGTCTTGCGGGGCACCACTGTACATTTTTGCACACATTACTTGGCCAGAGAACTGCACTGCAAAATTCGGAGAAGTGTGAATTTGGAAGGATGGCTGGGTTTTGGTTTGCATGGCGTTTTGGAAAGTGCAAATTCAGTATGTTTGCCTTGAAATGTGAACTGCATCCAATTCCTCCCCCATTCCTGCCTGCGGCAACTGTCTCACTTCTGAAACCTGATAGAGTTTCAAAGCATTTTGCAGTGGGAGAAGAAGGTGATTGTTTTTGAGGACAGGGCAGGATGGAGAGACAAACTTCTTATACATCTCTACTCGGAAGTAAGTCCCCTTTAGTTCAATGAGACTTTCTCCCAGGTAAGTGTGCACAGGACTGCAGCCTTAAAACATAGCCAAACTGTAGAACTCGTTCCCACAGGAGGCCGTGATGGCCACCAATTTGGATGGTTGTGAAAGAGGATTGGACAAATTCATGGAGGGGAAGGCTATCAATGGCTACTAGCCATGACGGCTATGATCTGCTTCTGAATAGCGGTTGCAGGAAAACTCAAGAGGTGGAAGTGCACTTGTGCTTGAATCCTGCTTGCTGTTTTCCCACAGGCAGCTGATTGACCACTGTGAGAACAGGATGCTATACTGGTCTGATCCCACAGACTCTTCTTAGGTTCCTATGGCCCTGATTGCTTTGGGACTGGTTTCTCAAAGCATGTGGAATCTGAGATGAATTTTCATTGGGTGAGGACAGGGGAAGGGATGATTGGGGGCTGCAGACTTTACCTTTGATTAGCTGGTGGTCAGGAAGTCACCAGCCTGCCTCCTCATACTCTTTTTAATGACGATAACCAAAATGGAAGGCGAAAGGGTCGAGATCATCTGGGAAACAGAACAAGGAAGCCGGGAGAAGGTGGGGAGGGATGAATTGGAACAGAGGCTAGCGGAATTGGAGGAACGCTGATAAGTTCTATTTAGCGACTAACACAATGTGCGTTGTAGCACAATGGCCTTTTTCTGCAGGCAGATTATCCCAGCCAGTCTTTCCTATAATAAAGAAGAAGAAGAGTGTGTGTGTGCGGCAGCGGCGGGAGGGGAGAGAGAGGAGGGAAATAGAGCACCAAAGAAAAGGAAAGGCGGGCTGTGAGGCAGCAATCAATACTGCCCTTTATGCTGCCTGACATTTGAGGGACTTGTTATCAACGATTGCTGCCTGCTTTATCTAAATGTATCTCCCCGCCTGCCAGGCGCAGTCCTGATAGGCGGCTGAACGTGCCGATGGCCTCTGCTGATACAGCCGACTGCCCAATTCACCCACGTGCTTCGGTGGCAGGAGCCTGATGGCTCTTGTCATTCCGTCGCTGACACACCTCTGCCAGCCTCAGTGGAAGGAAAAGGGCAAAAGAAACACACGGGGAGAGGGCATTTTCCAGGCTGATTGCTCTCTCTCTCTCTCTCTCTCTCTCTCTCTCTCACTCACACACACAGCTATTTCAGGGTTTAAAAGCAACCCCCTTCCATTTAATAAAAATAAAGGGAGGTAGTGAGCAAACGGGAGAGAGGAAGGTGGGTGGAATCTGCCTGACTTCTTCCTTTCGTCACTTGCTTTTACCTCAGCTTTGTCCTGCGCTGTTCCTCTGGCAGAAATTGACTTATGCACTCACACCTTTCTCTCTCTCTCTCTCTCCATCTCTTCCTGGTTTCCTGCAGAAGAGTGATAAGACTAATCTACAGCTCGACTGCTAGTTTGTCCTTTATTGTACAAAATGCTTCCGTTTAATATTTCATAATGTATACTCTCATACCCACACAAATATAATACGAGGTATCCGTTTGAAATGCATATCCATGCTTTTAGAGACCTGCTAGTTAATAGGTGCATGTGTGGGTGGGTGGGTGTATAGGCAAAGAATAATAAAACAAAAAATGGGAGGGGGGTCACTTTATGTCCCGAAGCATCCCCATTAGCCCTTCGAGTTCAGTCTAGGCAAACCAGAACGTAATGTTCCTGTCAAGGGCAGCATGGTTTGAGCAAAGGGACCTTTTTGACTTTGCCAACTCATAACTCCTCAGCTTTAATGAAAAGTGATTTGATGGACACACACGCACACCACTTCCCAGATTTCCGAAACAACCTTAAAGTGGAGTTTTGCACCTTCAACTCACAGTAGAAAAATACTTATCCTAAGAAACTGTGACGCGGGTGGCGCTGTGGGTAAAACCTCAGTGCCTAGGACTTGCTGATCTTAAGGTCGGCGGTTCGAATCCCCGCGGCGGGGTGAGCTCCTGTCATTCGGTCCCAGCTCCTGTCAACCTAGCAGTTCGAAAGCACCCTTATAGTGCAAGTAGATAAATAGGGACCGCTTTATAGCGGGAATGTAAACGGCGTTTCCGTGTGCGGCGCTGGTGCTGGCTCGCCAGATGCAGCTTAGTCACGCTGGCCACGTGACCCGGAAGTGTCTTCGGACAGCGCCGGCTCCCGGCCTCTTGAGCGAGATGAGCGCGCAACCCTAGAGTCGGTCACGACTGGACCTGTCAGGCAGGGGTACCTTTACCTTTACCTTTAAGAAACTGTGAACTACTGTTCTCTGCAGCTGCAACAATAGTCATAAAGAAGGCCTGGAAAAATATCTGTTTTACAGAATTGGCTATTTTGTCATTCCATTTTAAAATGCAGGTTTTTAAATTTGAAATCTGTTTTTGAATGTGAAATTCAAGTGTCTTAGATTTATTGGCAAGTCTTTATTGTTGGTATCAAAAGACATATCAGCTGTCAAGTACCAAGCAGGTATATCACATACCCTGTAATACTAATTCCTGCAGATCAAATATTAAAAATCAATATTTTAAATTAAATATTTGACTTAAAGAACAGGGTGTTAAATAATATTTAGAGCCTTGGAATTTGTTTTCAGTACTGGAACTAAGCACACCAGTCATTTCATATAAAGATCTAGTCCTGGTTAGCTATCTTCATTTTAGCTGACTAATTCAGGTGGAAAAAAACCATTTTGTTGCTGCTAGGGATGGGTAAATCTGTCAATTTCTGTTTATCTTGGTTTCTCTTTTTTCCAATCTTCAGTTCAGTTAGTAACATTTCTGCATCAGTTTGTGAATTCTTTGTTTTTTATTAAAAAAAAATCCTCATGAAAAATATCAGCATTCTACTATTGATTTCTCCTAATGTACACATTTTTTTATGCAATTCTGCTTCATATGCACATTCTTGCAAGCAATTTCCCCATACGTAATGCTTTGCTGTATGCTATTTTCACTAATATGTGTATCATTATGCACAGTTTACCCCAATATACACCGTTTCGAATAAATGTTTGTTGTTGTTGGAGAATAGCTTGACTATATTGAGAGAAGTGTGAATTTTGAAGGCTAGCTGCATTTCGATTTATGTAATGTTTTGGGAGCGCAAATTAAATAGGTTGGCATTAGAATAAGAACACAATATGAGCCCGCTGGATCAGGTCAATGGCCCAGCATCCTGGTCTCAGAGTGCCAGCCAGATGCCTGTGGGAAGCCTTCAAATAGTACATGAGCACAACAGCACTCTGCCCACCTGCATTTGGCATTCAAAGGCATACTGCCTCCAGGAGTGGACATAGAAACATAGTTATATGGCTAGTCACTGTTGATAGCCTTGTCCACCGTGAGTTTGTTTTCTTTTAAAACCAACTAGTGCTTTTTTCGGGGGGGATGCAGGGAAACCATAGCTGTCAATGCTTCTCTTTTTTAAAAAGGGAAATTCCCTTATTCCGAATAGGATTCCTCGCAAGAAAAGGGAAAAGTTGACAGCTACGAGGGGGACGCATACCCCTAAACATTTTGTGAACCTAAGTTGTCCTCATTGAGGGGCAGTATTTCAATATGAGTAGGAAAATGAGAGTACCCCTAAACATTTTTTTAAAAGAAAAAAAGCACTGAATCAATGAAGGTGGTGGCTATCACTGCCTTCTTTGGGAGAGATTTCTGCAAACCAGCCAGAGATATTCCAGTGGATCCTGCACATTTCTGGTCCAAACAACAAAGGCATCCTCTTTCTACACACCCTCCAACATTTCTCTGATGAAAATTGTTGTTGTTGTTTAGTCGTTTAGTCGTGTCCGACTCTTCGTGACGCCATGGACCAGAGCACGCCAGGCACTCCTGTCTTCCACTGCCTCTCGGAGTTTGGTCAGACTCATGTTAGTAGCTTCAAGAACACTGCCCAACCATCTTGTCCTCTGCCATCTCCTTCTTCTTGTGCCCTCCATCTTTCCCAACATCAGGGTCTTTTCCAGGGAGTCTTCTCTTCTCATGAGGTGGCCAAAGTATTGGAGCCTCAGCTTCACGATCTGTCCTTCCAGTGAGCACTCAGGGCTGATTTCCTTAAGAATGGATACGTTTGATCTTCTTGCAGTCCATGGGACTCTCAAGAGTCTCCTCCAGCACCATAATTCAAAAGCATCAATTCTTCGGTGATCAGCCTTCTTTATGGTCCAGCTCTCACTTCCATACATCACTACTGGGAAAACCATGGCTTTAACTATACGGACCATATTTTGCGCTCTCCTCTTTCACCCTCATTAAAAGGTTCTTTAATTCCTCCTCACTTCCTGCCATCAAGGTTGTGTCATCTGCATATCTGAGGTTGTTGATATTTCTTCTGATGAAAATAGGGACATCCTATTCTTCTTCAACAACAACAACAAAAATTTTATTATTTATTACTCTGCCCATCTGACTGAGTTGCCCCAGCCACTCTGAATGGCTTCTAACATATATAAAAACATAATAAAACATATATCAATATAAAAATTCCTATGCAGGGCTGCCTTCAGATGTCTTCTAAAGGTAGTATAGTTGCTCATCTCCTTGGTTCGAGGGTCACATAACTCCATACGTTCCAATATTTCTTAGGTAAAAATTGGGACGTCCTAAGAAAAAGCCGGACATTCCAGGATCAAATCAGAAACCGGGACAGCTTCTGTAAATCTGAGACTGTCCCTGGAAAATAGGGATACTTGGAGGGTCTATCCCCTTGTATCTTGCCCTTGAGAAGCAAAGTTGAATACACTTTTATGCCCCACATTCCCTGCAAAAGAAAGCTAGGGGAAGCCTTACTGTGGGAGAGAAAACTGTAGCTGTAGTCTTATTATAATAATTTTTTATTATGGGCCTGAAGAAGCAAATGCACAGGCAGTCACAGATTCATAGATTCATCAGTCGAAACCCCCAATTCCCTATCGTAGACTACAGCTTGTATGAGACCTGCATTCCATGTAGTATGAATAGCTTAAGGCTCTTTGGTGTTTATGGTCCCTATCAGCAGCAAGGCCATAAGGAAATCTCAAGGGGGACACTTTGCTTAACAGGACTGTATGGCTCACACAGCCAATATTGGATTTATATGGATTATTAACCCGCACTGTCTCCATAGGTTCAGGACAGAAAGCAACATTTACAGATACAAAATTAAAACATGTTAATCCTTTTCTGAAAACCAGAAAGGAAAATAACCCCTGCCTGCAAAATGCTTTGCGAGATAAAAGGTCTACCATGGCATGTGGAAAATACTCAGGGTTGGACTTTCTGAACCTAGGACAGCCGTTCCTTACATCCTAAATACTGCTGGTGAGCTGCGAGAATCACAGAATCATAGAGCTGGAGGGGATCCTGAGAGATATCAGCTAGCCTGGGAGAAACCCAAGCTTTGTAGGAATGTAGAAAGTCTCCAGAGACAAAATCCCTCAGTTGCTGGGGGATGGGGTAGGGTGGGCCACCTCAAAGGGAAAGTTACGGTGTTTTCTGGAGAAGGGTGAGGCTGTCTGGAACCAACAACAGGAGCAGTCAAGAGTGCAACATTTGGATGCATGTTCTACTTGTACCTTCAACCTTTCAGATGGTGCATGTAGGAAAACCTATCCTTGGCAGTGTGTAGAGATGATGGTGGTGCACTTAATGCAGACACAGGTTGATAATTTCCCAAGAACATTTGGAAGAAATCCACATACATGAAGCTGAGGGTTTAGAACAGGAGTGACTCACTATAGTTTTCTAAGAAGAAAAGCAATAACTAAAATCTAGTTCCTGCTGGAAAGTAGCAGCTTTTAAAACCCTTCTTGGGGTCAAGGGAGTTATGCATTTGCTAAGAAAGTAACCAATTATTGACAGCTCTTAAAGTACAAAGACCTTAGTTATCTGTGGCCTTTTATTTCAAAAGACAGCTTAAATTCTTACCTGCAGTAGTGAAAGGTTTTGAGGTCTACGTGGAAATGTCAGCTTGTAGGCTTTCCTAGAAGTATTTACTTTTTCCTTAGTGATAATGAATACATTTAAAAACCAGTATATGTAGTATGGGCTAGAGTATAATATTTCTCTAGCAGAGAACTGCTACTGTCATCAAGGAAAGTGCCACAGAAAATGTATGCAGGACAAATGTACTTTAAAAATGCATGCATCAAAAAAACAAAAAACAAAAACAAAAACAAAAAACCCCTCAAAAATGTGACAAGATTAAGTCTTTGGTGTTGTTTGACTATAAGTAAATTATTCTGTACCAAATGCTTAAAATTGGACTGCACTTCAGGTCAACAATTAATTTTAGGCCTCCCTGAGGTGGTAAACTACTGTATTTTTCCATGTATAGGATGATGCTTTTTGCTAAAAAAAAAAAAAAAGGAAAAAATTGGGTGTTGTCTTATACACGGATAGTGAATGCGGAGGGGGAACATGCCATTAATGGCAGCAGCAGGCAGGAGATTGGCAGCAGTGGTTGGGCGGGTGATTGGTGGCTGCAGCAAGGCTTGCTGGCGATTGGCTATGGCTGCAGCA